CATTTGGTTATGTTTTGAGCATTGGATAACATAGTTGCTATGTTTATACTCCTGAGAATATGTTTTCCTTATTGAATATATTGTTGCCTTGTGTAATGATTTGCACACTTCGTATTTAACATCTTTCATGCATAGCGTGTAACGAATCGCACACTGAAGATTCGACATTCATCATATCATATTAGTTGTGGACTTAGAGCATGTATTATATAGGTTTCCAAATTTGGTTGTGCATGGTAGATAGTTGATTATCTTGTATATACATGTTGATATATACGTTGTTGCACAATTTGTTGATTTTGAAAACTTGGGGATGTCGTTGTTTGGCTACGGCTAGGACGTGGTTCTAGTACGGGGGATAGTCCCTCTATGTAGTCTAGTGCGCACATAAGGAGGTTTACCATAGGCTAGTAACCCTAAAGTGACCAAGGTGTTGGCCTGATCCGACTGATGTCCGAGTATCCACTTTGTTTGATTTCGCATTTCATTTTCAAGTTGATAACTAGATGATGTTGTAACTTGTTGTTCCTTATTTGTCTTTCCATTTTAAGTTACATGATGTTAACTTTACTAAATTGTGCTTTATGCGTTGCATTAGAAGTTCCAATGTTGGTTAAATTGCATAAGTATTGTAAATTGTGTTTTGATGTTCTAATATAGCTTAGGTGTGATCCTATAGATACATTGTGAACATAGACGTTAGGTGGCATGACCCACTTCCGTTAATTTCATGCTTTAGATTTTAAGTTGAAGGCTTTAAGAGTTTATACTTTGTTGCATTGTATAACTTGCTCTTAGGTTGTTGAATTGTATGGATAATATGATTCTTGTTAACTTGTACTCAAATATGCTTTTGTCATGTTGTATGGATTACTCTAGACCTATTTCAATTACATTGAAAATGTGATTCTTGTTAACTATAAACTTGTTGTATTAATTGGTTTATTCCAATCTTAATTTGTTTCACATATGTATATACATTATGATTCTTATTGTTTATACTCCATGATAGCTTAGGATGATCCCTGAGTCTCACTTTGACATAGACGTTAGGTAGCATGATCCCTTTGAACTATATCACGTTAGTCCTAAAAATCTTCAAGAAATCGAGTTGATGCATGCTCATTTTCTATGAGTAAACTTGTTTACTCACCCCGAAGTTACTAGGGGATTTGATCAGGTACGAAGACTTGGCTCTTGATGCTTGTCGTTCGTTGGGATGGCTACTAGCTTTTCAAGTTTCTATTTTATACAAATGTTAGCATGGAATATCATTTTATAGCCTTTTGTATAAAACTTGTATTATGTGCTTAAGTACACTTTTTGGTATTCATTCTATGTGTATAATATGTGGCCAAGGGCCAAACTTCATTTGTAATCCATGTATATTCAAAAATGTAGAATTTTGCCTTTAATGAGAAAAACATGAAAACTTGGGTTTCAATATGTCATTTTTGCATCGGTGTGTGCATTGTGTATGTAATTCATCCTTTAGCATTCATTTACCATATGTGAGGTTTGGCCAAGGGCCAAACACCATTTAGTTTTCATTTTTGCATTTCAATTCACATATTGCATTTTGGTCTAAAATAGTAGAAACCGAGCCTTTAAGGTTCATTTTCAAACCGGGTGGTGTAAAATGTGTTCCGGCACCTTCACTAGGTCTCATTTATCTTGCATGAAGTGTGGCCAAGGGCCAAACGGTCATTTGAAACCATTTCCTAATTTTGATTTTCATTTTTCCCATTTCAAGTCCATTTTTGCCTTTTTGGCCGTTGGGGGGTCGGATTTTGCATCGGCGGTATTTTTAAGCTGTGAACCATTGTAACGCATCCAAATAGGTAAGTTACGTTTGCGTGCATGATAGTTTTCAAGAAAAACCTCATCCTTGGTGATTTAAGCCTCTTGTGGACTCATTTTACAACGTTGTTGCATAATCTGATTTTTTGGCATCCTAGGGTTTTCCTTCGAGAAATAAATTCCGGTCTTCATATGCTCACTTAGAAAACGTGATTTTAGGGGGGGTTTCTTCTTCGTGTTTTTCCAGAAAATGTCATCTTGGTGCCGGAAATCTATCGCAAAGTTCAACTTCCAGTTTTCATTTAGCAGCTTTTTGGACCCTCATGATCAGATTTCTTGGAGGGGCATTTTGGGCATCTTACATTGAGTTTTTTTTCATTTTCTCTCGCGCTGTCAGGTAGAAAACTTGATTTTAGGGGGGGTTTCTTTTTTGTGTTTTTCCAAAAAAACTCGTTTAAGGGTCTGTACTTAGCCTCAGTTCTAGGAAAAAAATCAAATGTTGTTTGCTGTAAAAACACTATTCCTGCCCAAATTTCTTACCCGGAAAATAAGTTGATTTTTTTAAAAACTTTGAGACCTCATATCTTCATCATCCGGACTCCAAATCAAGTGATTTTTTAGTCTAAGTTTATTAGCTTTTGCTTGTCTATCCAACGGTATGTACGGTTGCATTCAATTCTCTCTGAAAGGACCATTTTACCCCTTGCCAAGTACCATTGCCGCATTGATTTGAAACCCAAAAGTCTAGTTTTTTTGTAACTTTGACGTTTCATATCTTCTTCATCCGGACTCCGAATCAAGAGATTGTTGAGTCTAGATTTATTAGTTTTTCCTTGTCTATCTAATGGTATTCTCAGTTGCATCTGGTTTTGTCTAAAAAGACCAGTTTACCCCTTGTAAAGTACCATTGCCGCACTTATTTTAAAAACCCAAAAGTTTGATTTTATGAAACTTTGGAGTTTCATATCTTCTTCAATTGGACCCCAAATCATGTGACTCTTGAGTCCATCTTGGTTAGTTTTTTGTTGTCTTTCCAGTGGTGTGCTCGGTGGCACCGGAATCCATACTTTCAAAAATGACTATTTTGCCCCTGGGGGCTTATTTGTTATATTTTTGATCTTTTGCTTCTACATCAGTTCTTATTGAGTTCCACGACCTCATGGAAGGTCACTTTGACTTCTTAGAGTCTTATTTTCTGTTTTCGCTTCCGCATATCGGATCCGTTATCGGGTCAATCTTCGGTTCATCACAGGACACGCTGGCCTAAAAACCAGAGTCGTCACACATCACTTCATATGGTAACATTTGAATTTACCAATAGGTACTAGCTCAAATGGTATAAGCCCCCATTCCAAATGGAGAGGATAAGTATTCAAGTTTTGATGAAGGCATAATACAGTGTGTGTGTGTGTGTTTCCTTGAACTTTCTAGAATTTTTTTTTTGATATATAGATATACATATTTTGTCACAAGTCTCATAACTTTTGATGCTCTATGGATATGGTTATTACTCCAGGTTCATAGTCATTCGAATTCTCTCTTTCTTATTCTATTATCAGTCTAAATTATTTAAAGAAAATTCTTCAATGTTAATAACAATAGAAAATTAGAGACTTTTTTCTCCTCTTGATTGGGAAATAACAACTTAAGGAGAGTGATCATACAAAACCCAACAACTGCCTCGATAGCCTAGTGGGTTAGTGTTTTCGGTGAATTTTGGAGTGTCAGACTTTAATTCTCTGTATCTACTATTCTAATTTTTAACCGTTCTTACCTTGTTAAAAAAAAAAAAAAAAATCATGCAAAACCCAAAGTCACAAAATCATATAAATTTGGATTCATATTCAAGTTACTCCCTCAACTTCAACACAAATTCCATTGGATTCATAAAGTGTTACTGATACCAAAAACAATTTGAACAATATATATATATATATATATATATATATATATATATATATATATATATATATAATATTATATTATATGAGTTTAGATTTAGAAAAAAAATGATATGTCCTTCGAATTTCAGAATATGTTGACGGAGTGTTGTGTAAATGGGGGTGTGGACTTCACAGCATCTTAACATCATGTGGTAGGACTAGGGATGGAAAATACCCGGCTTCGTTTAGAACGGTCATGTAGGTGGTTAAATGATTTTGGGGCGAGAATGTAAGTTAGGATTGAAAACCTGCATGGTTATGGAGTGGGGAAGGGGAAAGGTCATCCCGCCCCGTTTGTAGTGTTAAATTACAAATTTGCCCTCATAATTTATTTTTATATTCAATAATATTATATATATATGAAGCAAATCCTAATTTATTATATTCCAATCACTAAATATTCTATTATTATTTTTTATTCCTACAAAAATATTAAGTCTCAAATTCCAATTAAGAAGTTGAATCTTATTTTTATCCACATGATAGAAAAACAATTATTACCGTGGTTGAAAAATTGGTTCATTATTTACCTTCGGTTCATTTGTAATATAATTACGAAAGTACTCTACTAAACTCGTTCTCGCCCCGACCCACTTAATAAATTGGGATGAAAGTGGGTATGACTATGCTAAATGGGGATGAGATGGGGTTGGGTACCTGCCCCAACTCCGACCGTTGCTATTCTTAGATGAGACCCACATCATTACACATACATTTCTTATTCGAGCATCCTCTAAATTTAGAAAATGTGTCATTGCTCCTTGTTTGAAAAATTATTACAAGGTCTAGGACTGCACAGTCCCAACCCAATCATGCAATTAACCCTATTTTCAACCTATTAAATTTACCTATTTTAGCCTGATTTAATGTGTTAAAAAATTATATATTGAAATATAAAGATAAATATATTAAAAATATATAATTAATTTGTTGACAAATTAACAGCACAGAGGTCCAGGTATCTTACCTTGACCAAACTGGTCCACATGGGCCACAAGACTTTTTGCCAGCTCAGCAGCAGTCAGTCCCAAAACTGAAATGAAACGAAAATAAATACAGTGCATAAACCACGCGTCCACTCACGTGCTTTGCCTTATCTAAAAGAACCCAAACGAATCATTGAGAGCGACTCGTCAAGTAATGAGAGGCGCAAATATTTTGTGAGTGATAAAGCACAAAGGTGTTCAAATCCCCGACCGCACGACGCCGTTTCCATCCCATTTCCGCCATTAAATTAGACCATAAAAGAGAGGGAAGCAACACACAATACAATTGAGATACAATCAAAGCTAAGAGAGAGAGAGAGAAAAGTGTAGAGAGAGAGAGGGGCCTCCCTGGTCCATCATTATTCAGACAAAGGTCTCATCTCTGTATCTCCATCTCTATCTCGATCACAGATTCAAATTCGAAAGTTGAAACCCTAGGTTTTGTATCAGAAGAAGGAAATGGCGGAGCAGAAGAACAAGTGGAACTGGGAGGTGCCCGGGTTCGAACCAATGAAATCGTTCGAGCACGACGATCAAAAGCCCGCACATCTGGTGAGGAGGTACTCGGTCTCTTCTTCGTCTATCCCAGCACATTCCGAGCTCTCCAAGCATGCTTTGGCCCCAAAGATTCAGAGATTGAAAGACAAAGTTAAAGTATGCACTTACTTTTCTTTTCTTAATCTTGTTGATACTCGAGTATGTTGCTGTAATTGCTACAGTATAGATGTTCTTTACTGACTAATGTAGTGGTTAGTACTAATGTGATAGCTATATACACCAATGCCTATTAATAGTCATGTGAAATTGGTATAATAGGTGTCATTGACACTGTTTCATGCATTTTCATGAGTAGACTAATGAATTTTGAAACTTCAATTTTGTGGAACGGGAGTATTGATTTAAAAGTATGGTTATCCCGAAATCAGATTTGCTGTAATTTATGTGAAGTTTATTGTGAATTAAGATAGTAGATAAAGATGCCCCTAGGGGACTGCAATAAGATAAAAAAAGAGAGGGCAAAAATATTAATCACTGGGTTAGTTTTGAAATTCGATGAGGAGTCCGCAAGATGATTCTGTTTGTCCATGTCTACATGGAAATACCAACTATTTGGATGTAGTCGAGACAAATTTATGTACTTCTATACATTTGCACACTTTGGGGCTACAATTAAAGAGTTCCGTAGAAGATCATGATTGTATATGTCTAAAATGTTAATTACTGGGTTAGTTTTGAAACTCGAATCCTTTGGTTGAATGTTGATGGAGGGTCTGCAAGATGATACTGCTTGTACATGTCTACATGGAACTACCAACTAGTTGGGTGTAGTCGAGACAAATTTATGTCCTTCTGTACATTCCCACACTGGGACTACAATTGAAGAGTTCAGTAGATCATGACTGTACATGTCTACATTAAATTAGTGATTAGTGGTATATGTGTGTATATACACACATAAAAACATATATGCAAACACATATTTATAGAGAGTGAGGTTCGTAGTTGGATTTTCTGATCTTACATCATTTAACAACTTTTTTGCCAAATCCACTGTTGGATTAGCAACACCCATCTCGTGAAGAACAGTTTGCCAAATTAAGTTAATCATATGTGCCATGTGCCTAGATATCAATCTATAGGCTTACATTATGAATTAGGAAAATACTGTTTATATAGCGTTTTTGTCAACAATCCTCTCACAGTCTCACTCACATGTGTGGGTCCCACATATATATGCTGTGAGTGTAATAAAAGAAAGCCGCGGGCCTAGTCGAATGAACAAATTTAACCAAAGATGGATCGTGGCAAGACATCGTGCCCATGTCTAACTTTTTACAAGGTTTTTTTACTATATTACTTAACTAGCTACTGAATTGTAGTTAATGCATAGAAGTAATGTATATTTTTTGAGATAATGGTAAATGAACAAAACGTTTTAAATGTAAATTGCTAAGAAGAAATTAGATAATTAAGTATCAAGTAAAATGCTGCGGCTCTGCTTATGTTGAATAAATCATTACATACACCTTAGCTATAATTATTTACAATACATCCTTTAACTTCTGTGTGCATCACTGCATCCACAAATTTAACCAAAGATGGATCGTGGCAAGACATCGTGCCCATGTCTAACTTTTTACAAGGTTTTTTTAATAGGTAATTATTTTTCTTAACCACCAACCTATTATAAAACCAGTTAGGCTATAAAGCAAGCAATTATCATTTAAATTGGTAAACCATGTGACTGTTGGCTTGTATATACATGTGCATCATAACTGATCCGTAAAAAGTTTTTGAGTACTAATGAGACAAAGCAAAAGGAATAGAAGGTGGAAGTTATCTCCCGTTCATAGTTGAATTGTTGAATTCAAACTATTTCTTATTTACATTGTCCACTTAAAAAAAAAGAAAAAAGAAAAAGAAGAGGAGGAAAACAGAGAATAACGAATAAGAAACCTTTAAACTTGCAGATTGACCTACCCAAGGAGTCGATATATATTGATTGGACTATCTGAACGTGTCAGGCTCTTGAGTGATCAAAATCTCTAAAATTCTTTTACCATTCCTGAGGATTTTGAAAACAACAAATGAGAGATGGCATGGGTTTTTGAGAGCCAATGGATTGGTGAGAGCATTGAGGAGAAACCTTTTAACTATGCAGAATGACATAATATAGAGGGACAATGGAGTCGATATATATTGGTTGGACTTTCTGAACGTGTCAGGCTCTTGAGTGATCAAAATCTCTAAAATTCTTTCACCATTCCCGAGGATTTTGAAAACAACAAATGAGAGATGGCATTGGTTTTTGAGAGCCAATGGATTGGTGAGAGCATTGAGGAATTTAGTGCCTTTGCAGGATATTTAGTCAATGACTTTGAAGATTGAGAAGAGAGAAGTACACAATTATTGCATGTGCCAAGTTGGTTTTCATTTGAAAGGTGGATTGGCTAAAATAGATATTAATGTAATCAAAGTAATAGTTAAATTGTTGGGGATTAATACTTATCAAAAAAAAAAAAAATTGTTGGGGATTAATAGCTTTATTTATTTAATTATTTTGATAAGTAAGATTTCATTAAAGGTGCTCAAGAGGGAGTGCTCCCAAGAGAATACACAAAAAACTGACAGCAGTTAACTATAATTTCAGATTATCCACAAACTCCAAACGATCCCCCACAGATTTACAATTTCACCCATTTACCTAAAAGAATAAAGAACTTAGTCTATTGTATTTGAGAGACCTTATGGAAACACTGTTACTTGTAATTTGTACTTTGAGAATGTACCCATCAGAAAGGAGGGTAATGTTTGCAGTGACATCATTAGTAAACAATTATTCATTTATTGGTTAAATTTATTTACCGACTGCATTTATTGGGGGGCATTGTTGGGATTGATTATGGCAAAATCACCATATTTGGTTCTTTCCCTTGGATTTGATGGGTAATGGTCAATATTTGAAGCTTAATCTGGGGAGACACGGGATGACTGGTCTTTATATACCCAAAGTATTGGAAGATGTGAAAGATGCACTTGTAAGATGACAGTGAAGACAACCCCAAGGGAAGGGGTGAGTATCAACTAGGAAAAAAAGAAGATGACAGTGAAGACACAGTGTCGCACCCTATTGGAGTTCATTTCCCTAGAACACTCTCTTCTCTTGTTTGAAACTCAGGAAGAACCCAAGGTTCATGGCTGATGATCATGCCAACAAATGTTGGTCCAAGACATGACCAAGTAGCAAAGGCAGGTTATGCTAAAGTAATTGTTTGCAGAATAGACACCGGAATCAGTATTCATTGGATGAGCTATGAGAATTAGGGAATTTGGTAGATTTCACTAGGTTATCTTATGGATGGTCAAATCCATGAATGATGTAACCTCCAAGTTTTGACAGTGAATTATCTCTTGCTGTTTTGGCTATGGCAGTAGGGATAGTGCTGTTAAAATTTTCTATTCTATGTTTTAACGTATCTCTTTAATATTCTCTACTTTCCTAGTTTGCATACTTGTACACGATCCTTGGAGATATTGCACACCATTTCATTCCTACAATAGAGGGAGATACCGAGATATCTGTTAATTTATCTCCGAGAATCAAGCAGTTGTGGAAGGAGCATAATATTGGTTTAGTTGCTCAGAGTGAGGTTGCCTGCTTTGAGGTGAAATGATTGTTGTTAAGCATCCTTTATTTTTGGGAGCTTTTACTGTTCTTTGATTCTTTTACAGCTCTTTGGGAGGAATAAGTTGTGTATATTTGATTCTCCTTCACTTTATTTTTTCCCCCTCTTTTTTCTTTGTGTATGTCATTTGTACATGGGTAGCTGTCCCTTGGCATTTTTTAGTGGATTGCACTGCTTATTGAAAAAAAAAAAAAAAAAAAAAAAATTGTCAGAAACAAAACCCATGCAGGAGAGAATAGAGTTTCGAGTTTTCTCTGTGATACAACTTCAATATATTTGAATATATTATGTATGTTAGGCTTGGAATAGGACAGCTGTCGAACTCTGATCTGCTTAATATTTCTTTCTCTTTTGTTTTATGGCAAATACAAATTCATTTACAGGCAATAGAACGGGGGAAATGGAACTTCTTCATCATCATTAATAAATCTACATATTGTATGAGGAAACTATCTATTCCATACCGTACGTTATCAACATTTCTGATATCTGTCAATTCATTAGTTGCCTTGCTGGCCTAATATTTATAATTTTCTTTAAACACATTTGATTTCCTAAAAAGAATCTTATTAGTGACATAAGAATCCTTGTGGGTAGCTTAAAGCTTTAGTTGTTGCCTTTGGTGTTTTTTTGTGTATTCCATCGGGAGTGCTCCCCTCTTGAGCGCCTTTCTATGAAATTTTTACTTATCCAAAAAAAAAAAAAAACCCAGTAATGATCAATTATGACAGCTCCATTGTATCAATAACTTGCCTCCCTACTGCAAGTATGCAAGAAATCAATTGTTAAAACCAAAAATTCAGCAACGGGTAGTAAGGTCTTTCTGATTCGGTTTAGCTCCACCAATAGATCTTTTATTCCGATCTCTTCATCATCTAACATGAACTTGCGTTACCTTTAATTGTGAAATTGTCAATAATATCATGTATTATGTGTCATAACATGCTTTGTACTGTTAGATGCAATTTAAACCTTATAAAACATAAAGGAAATAGAGTTAGTAAGCAAAAATATTTAAGGGATGTGAAATATAGTTCAAAGGTAATGTCTATTACATGAGATACTGACCCTCAGACATTTATTCTTTCAAATCTTATGTTACAACTTAGTGTAATAATAAGATTCTTTGTAGTATGACACTGCAATATAATTCGTCAATTAACAAGATGAGGATAGAATTTGATAAGTGAGTGTTTCAATGAATCTTATGGTTTGAAAAGTAAAAAGATACAGTTACAACTTGCAAAAATTATAGAATGTACCTATCTTAAGAACAATATAATATATAATTTGTGAAGTTTAGACTTCATTTAAATTTCAAGTTCTAACATGCGGATCTTATGTTTCCAAAGTTTTGCCTACAAATTTCATGCACATTATTTGTGTATGTGTATATACATATGTATAACAACAACAAACAATGCCTTTTTCTGACTACTTGTGGCTGATTACATGAATCATATTTTTCCATCCCATTCTATCTAAAGATCATAGCCTCGGTCAAACTACATGTTATCATATTCTTCCTTATTCTAACTTTATCCACGTTAACCTGGGTCTTCCCCTTCCCCTAGCATTACCCTCAATGTGGACAATGTCACTCTTCCTAACTGGTGCAAAGGTCTTCTATGCACTTCTAAACCATTTTAACCGAGTTTTTCATGAATCATCTCATGAATGTGTTCATTTCTAATTCTATCCTTTCTTGTCTTACCGTACATTCATCTAAAAATTTTGCATTTCCGCCATACACACTTTATGCATATGTTGCTTCCCAGCTGCCCAACATTCTGTTTCATAGAGAACGGCTGTTATAATATACATATGTATCTACTTATATAATAATCAGGCTGTTCAACGTTATTGGAATGATGAATTTGCTCTAGATTATAAATATTTTGGACAATAGAAATCCTGAAGAGGAGACAAATGAAAGCAAAAGTAAATGGTATCTTTATAATATTTCCTTTTAACATATTCCTTTGAGGCAATAACCAATATTATACTTTATATATATATTTGATAAGTAATTTATGTCTGAATATTTCTAAATCAACATTCCTTTTAAAATGTCAAGTAATCGAAGTGCGCATGTAAGTTTTACTGTATGACATATATCATGTATGTGATGTTTATTGTATATACTATCAATAGTCAAGATGGATGTGTATGACGATGTGTGCTTCTAATGTGTACTGTATCATATGTATTTTATTTTGTGACTGTATTTGTCAATTTCATCAAAAAAGAAGTTCCAGACTGAGTAGTGACTAGTTAGGGGGTGCCATCTTTATCCTTCCTTATTTGGTGACCTGGCTCTTGATTCTTGCAAAAGAACGGTAAAAAATTTGTAGAAAATCTGTTCTTGAATTTAATAACTTCTATTAAAGATTTATCCAAATAAATATGGGAAGACGCTCTTAAAATGTGGGTTTGTCAAAAGTGGCCCCTTGCAAATACTTTTTGTGGCTTATAATTGCAGTTTTACACGAGCTATGATTGTTACACTAGAACAATGTGGGCCACTAGATTTAGTTACATAGTGCTTGATATGCATTACCAAACTCAGCCAAGCAGTTCTGCCACCTTGCTTGATTAGGGATGAGCTAATCATTATTTTTGCATTTTTAGGCCTTAAAACAATTAATGAGTCATACCATGGAACTTTACGAGATAGTGATTCAACAAAGACTAAGACATGAAATTGTAGTGTCAGAAAATGAATTTTTGTTTATACTGGTGAGGTTAACAATTGGAACTTTTTGCTCATTGAGGAGAAGAAAGGGAAGATACTGAGAAAAAGAAAGATCTTCATATGGTACTTATACATTTGGAGAAAGTCTATGATGGCTGGCTAGAGATATGGTCAGCTTTAGAAAAAAATGGAGTCAAAAAGAGATATGTTGGTGTTAGTGGTGTTATCAAAGGCCCAAGGCGCTAGAGGTCCTCTGGAGCCTAGTTGCAAGGCACAAGGTGAGGCGTGCACCTGAGTGAAGTGAGGCGCACAATGGAAAAAATTAAATTATTAATAAAGTATTCATATTCCATATAAAAGGCGCAAATGTTGTCAAAGACGCACCTGAGCACACAATAGGCACAAGTCTTGCGCCTATATGAGCCTAGAGTCTAGGCGTGCCTTTGACAACACTGGGCGTTAGTGCGTGACAAAGGAGCTGTATGATGGGTTTGTTGTGACTTATAACAATTGTGGGTGGAGCATGTCAATTCTCATTACTGCAGCCTTACATCAAGGATCAATTTTTAATATTCATATCTTTTGTGTCATAATTATCAATGAATTGAGAAAACACTTCGAGGATGAGGTTCCATGGTGTATGCTATATTGCCGATAATGTTGTTTTAATTGATGAAACTAGTGCAATGGTTGGTGCCAAAATAGAGATTTGGAGAGGAACTCTTGAATCAAGCGGGTTGAACATAGGTAGAACTAAATTGAATGTATGGAATGCAATTTTGGCAAAGTTAGAAATATAAGTGAGATGTAGCGAAGATTGAGGGTCAAAATATACTACTCCAAAATGAACATATTTGTTACTTAGGGTCGATTATTCACAAAGAGAAGAAATTAAAATGATGTTATTTTCAAAATTGAAGTAGGATAGTTTAAATGGAGGAGTGCGTCTGCATATTATGTGGTAGATCGTTTACCTCTTAATTGAAAGGTAAGTTTTATGAAAAAGTCATTAGACCAACCATACTCAATTACTTACATAAAAAAAAGTAGTTATCAGACCACTCATACTTTAGGGGACTAGAGCTTGTGCACTAAGAAACAACATTTAAACCATATTAGTGTGACTGAAATGTGAATATTGAGATGGATGTGTGCCAAGACAAAAAGGAAACATTAGAAGTGAACATTCAGAATACAGTTGAATGAGCATCTATTGGACGTAAAAAGAGAGAATACCGGTGAAGATAGTTTGACCATATGCAATGAAGACCAATAACTGCACAGTTAGGAAGAACAATGTGGCCCCTGTAGGGTAATGGTAGGGGGAGAGGAAGACTAAAGTTAACCTAGTTTGGTATTGTAAGGAAAGATATAATAGCATGTGGTTTGACTGGAGTTATGGCCTTACATGGAGGGAAATTTGTATGTGTGTACTTACCTAACAAAAAGAAAAAAAAAAAAAAAAAAAAAAAAAAGAAAGAAAAAAACAGGAAGGTCATACACCTTGAACATATTATTTGTTGGGTGGTTGGAGATCATCTATTTTACTTGCAGTGGATGGACTGCTTCAAACCATCTCGAAAGGTCACAGAAAATGACTTGCTTAATATAATGCATATGATCTGCTTAAAAAACTATCAAAATGTTGACCGCTAAATATATTTCAAAACACAATAGATATGGCCAAGATGTACCTTGAACTCTGCTTGACATGGTTGGAAATATTGAAAGGCTTAAGAGTTCTCTGCAACATAAATTTCAGAACCAATCAAGCCAAACTTAATCTCTGGTCAACAGGTTTTACCCTCTTTTTCAGGGAAACCTTCTGAATTCAAATTCTTACTGTCCTTGCACAAATACTTGCATATCAATTATTACCATACAATTTTTTTAACCACTGTTCTTTTATCAAAGATAAAAAGAGAAGAAACTAGAAGAAAACAAGTGCTACATTGTTGTTAATGCATGAGACTATCAAGGAAAGATGTCAAGGAGCATGACAATGATGCACATGTATGACCGAAGAAAAAAAAAAAAAAATGAAACGTTGGGACAAAGTCAAGATTATGAACAATTTGAGTTAAACTCTTCTCTTCATCCTTTTTGGAGTTATAAGTAATTGGTTGTTAACCTATCTCTGCCCTCGGTGAGTTCTTTGACATTCGCTGAGGTTGGAAATATGAAGGAGTGTTGATGTATTGCAAATTCTATTAGAATGGACTCATAAGTAATTGGTTGTGAACCTATCTATTCCCTCAGTGAGTTCTTTGATCTTCAGCCGGGGCTTGAATTTCAAAGGAGCATTGATATATTGTAGATCCATATTATATGAAGCAGACTGTTGGTCGTTGAAGAAGACACAAGCAGAACACGTACATGTTGCTGAACTAAGGATGCCTCGCTGGATGATAGGAGGTACTAGAAGAGATAAGATTAGTAATGAACGTGTGAGGGGTACACTAGGCATAACGCCTATAAATGATAAAATTAGAGAAGGTAGTCGTAGGTGGTATTGTCATATTTAACGTAGACCCAGTGATGCACTGGTTAGACGGGGAAGAGTTATTTTCCTAGTAGGTAAGCAACAAAGAGGCCGGCCAAAACTTACATGGGATGAAGTAATAAGGAACGATCTTAGAAAATCAAGTCTTTGAAAAATTAAATCTAAAAGAAGACATGGTGTATAATAGAAAAGAATAGAAAAAAAGAATTCATGTTGTCGACTCCATCCATATGGGATAAAGGCAAGGATGATGAATTGATGACAATAATGATGATTGATATATTGCAGATTCTATTATTTATTTGCTAAGCTTTATACTATTTCAAGGTAGCCGAGAATGATAGATGCAAGTGTCAATTAAAATGCATACAACGTTTTTTTTTTTTAATTTTTACATCTGATGATCTCATGTTTGTTTTATTGTGACATTAAGTGATTATGTTTATTGGACAGCTTGCCAGAGAAGATTACTTTGAGTTGAGACAAGAAGCCAGTGACCTCCAGGAATACTCTAATGCAAAACTTGACCGAGTTACACGTTATCTGGGTGTTCTTGCTGATAAAGCCCGTAAGCTAGGTAAGGATAGAGTTTGGTTGTATGGATTACATTAAAAACTTTGGAGAGATAATATTGCATTAATTTTTTTTCAGCTACCATTATGATGTTTCATACCAACTTTTTTCTTCTCCAAACAAACAAATCAGGAGTATGCAATATCAGTTGTCAATCTTTTATGTGGTTTTCTATGTGATTGTATTTAGTTATAACTTATAAGTTATGGTAAGATACTAATTCAAGTGTAATGGTTTTCCTTCTCTCTTTCTGGAGTTTGAGAAGTTATTGATTCTAATGTCTTTTCTTAAGACTCCAGAAAATTAATGCATTAGGCTTCTATTCTGTTTTAGACTTTTCATCTTGACTAATTACAGCTGGCTTATGTATGTTACATGGTTTTCCTTGCATCCTTAACATTACTTGAATTTAAAAAGTTTCTGTTTGTTCTTTTAATGTCTTCTGCTTCCTTTTACGGATCATGGTGCTGCACAGTCGTGTTGATGGTTTTAATTTTAAGATGCGTAAATGTCATCTATTTTCAGATCGGGCTGCCCTTGAAACTGAAGCTAGAATTTCTCCATTGTTAAATGAGAAGAAAAGGTTGTTTAATGACTTGCTCACTGCCAAAGGTATGATAAGTTCTTTGAGTTTACCCTTTCCAACACTCTCTCTTTCTCATGAACACACACAAAAATAAAGAATCTTATCCTTTTCCTTTATCTCTCCTCCATTCCCCCCAACCCCTAATTGCTACATCTTATCCAGCAAGCTTAGGAAAGTACTTGAGGCAGTTTTTTGTGTGAAAACCTGACTGATAACTTCAGGAAACATAAAGGTGTTTTGTCGTACAAGACCACTTTTTGAAGATGAAGGTCCATCTGTTGTTGAATTCCCTGATAATTTTACCATTCGCATCAATACTGGTGATGATACTGTCTCCAACCCAAAGAAGGATTTTGAATTTGACAGGGTTTATGGGCCTCATGTTGGACAAGGTGCAGTATAATTCCTTGATTTACTTCTTTATGTGGAACGATGTAATTATTTACTCCGTGATAGACTTATAATTGGTAACTATGTTATCTAAGTAACTTATTTTGACATTTTGTATGTGCAGCTGAACTTTTCAGTGATATTCAGCCATTTGTGCAATCAGCTCTGGATGGCTATAATGTTTCTGTATTTGCTTATGGGCAAACCAGTTCAGGAAAGACACACACTATGGTCTCTCTCTCTCTCTCTCACACACACACACACAAAATTTATCTACTACCTATTCCATATCCTCTCCCTCCCACTCTCTCTCTCTCTCTCTATATATATATATATATATATAATATTTAGCTTTATAAAATCATAGGTTATGCATAGTCCAAATAGAACTACACATACATGAGTTTGACAATTATTCAAGCCTATGTTTGAGGAGAGTAAAAGCATTTATATGTTTCTCCAAATATGGCTACACATACATGAGTTTGACAATTATTCAAGCCTATGTTTGCGAAATGCTTTACTCTTAAGATTCGTAGCTGCGATTTTTCGTTGTAGGCTGTATGATTGGACAGTGGTATTCTTGTTCAACTTTTGCGAGCGAAACTAAATCAATTACATAAGAGGGTAAAGTAGAAGTATGTTGAATGGTATGAATATGTACCAGTTTATAATTTCCTGAATTTGAGGACATGTTCAATTTTTACAGTACAATAATTTCTTGGCAAGTAATACACACACCCAGGTCCCAGTTGAAACTGGAACCATATACCTTCCCCAAGGTAATAGTTGATGGTTGATTTTTGCATCAATGTTCTTCCCCTTTTGCAGGAAGGATCTAGCCATGATCGTGGTTTATATGCCCGATGCTTTGAGGAGCTATTTGACTTGTCCAACTCAGATACAACTTCTTCTTCTCGAATTAAATTTTTCGTCTCAGTCTCAGAGCTCTACAATGAACAGGTTACTTGGCTTTTCTTTTATGTCTTTTGGTTGCTGCATACTTTTTCCCCTGAATCATAATCACGTTCTATTAACCCTAGTTTTTGTTAGTTGGATGAAATTTTGAATACCAATACAACTTTTCTGATGGTAGATCTCCACGTTCTTTTAGATAAGGGATTTGCTTTCTGAATCTCGGAACAGTCTACCAAAGATCCGCATGGGGTCACCAGATTCTTTTGTAGACCTTGTGCAGGAAAAGGTTGACAATCCGTTAGATTTTTCTAAAATACTGAAAGTGGTACTTCAGAATCGGGGAATTGGTGAATCAAAGTCCAACGTTTCTCATCTGTATGTTCCACACTCTGTCTATATATCTGTTTATTATTTTTTAATTTTGTTTTCATTCAATTTATGTCATGCTTCTACTGAACGATTCTTTTGGAAAGTTGAGTGAATTCTACTTCTCCTTCTTGAAAACCAAGATGCTTTTTGGAGGTCATATATGATTACTGAGCTTAAATTTATAAAAGTTATTTGCAGTAATCCCTTCTTTACTGTAAGGAGGAAAACATTCATGATTTGCCTGTCTTGGTCTGAAATGAATGTCAAATGTGCCTCATTTCTTCCCTTAATGGTTCATTTTATTGTACATGATTTGCTTCCTCTGAAGAAAGTCCCAGTCAGATATGGTCAACTAAGTGGTAGTACCCCTGGCTGGTCTGGATTATCTACTGTTGTGTAGCTTGGGTCCCTTTGGGAGATCAGCAGTGTTGGGAACTGGTATCATTTAACGAGTTTTTACAGCTAAGAACTGTGCATTCGAAATCATTCTGTGAAGGTTTTCAGCCGTCTAAAGAATTCAATTTGAATTATATCATCGTATAGCTCGGGTTATCCAATAAAGTTTAATTTGGTAGACTTGTGTACTAAATGGGCACCACAGTGTTGTGTACTAAATGGTCGTATGATCATATCCTATTGTGTCTTGCTTTATGATAGCTAGACCTCCGACTCATACTTGTTTTGGTCCTTCTTTTCAATCTGTGTCCAACAAGTTGCAGTAGGTACTCATATCTCGCCTGTTATCATTTGGAAAGAGCACTCACCATTTGATAATTCTTATTTGGTTAAACTTATAAAAAAATATGATAAAATTCTTTTTTGGTTATCAACTGGGCAAGAAAAGTAAACTTTCTTTAGAGGAGTTACACTATCTATTTGCATGCATTTATTTCGAAGCATTCTAAAAAATTTTATGCTTCACAGAAAGAAATTTGATTGAAGATTAAATTGGTTTTGTGTACTTTTTGTTTGCCAAATTGGACTGATTTGGTGGTTTATATTGATCCTATTTCAATAACTCAAATCTGTTCATTTATCCAATATTGAATTTATATGTATATCACCCGAGAGGGTCAAACCTTCATTCACAGACTTAGAAATGGGAAAAAAGGCTGTTGTTATTCACTAATTTAGAATGCAGAAAGGCAAGGTTATATTAATTTCGCTACTGATTTGATACCTCGAGGGTTGAGTTTTTTTGGTCTTTGGATAGATGTGATAACTTTTAAGGTTGGGAGAGGAAAAAATATACTGCCAATTTGAAGTGTTTTAATAAATGACAGCTATTATTTTATTTTTCTACCTCCAAACATATATCTATATGGAAATATAAATATTTCTAAGTACACAAGTGTGTGGGTATATCTATATGTTTTATGATTATAATATTGAAAAAGTGGGCTGACATGGAAATACCAGAAAAATCAGTTTGTTGATTGCACTATAACAATCTTGAGGATATTTGGGTCTTAGCAGGAGGTGCTCTAGAACAAAGCCCCATGTCAAAATGGTTTTGTCTTCGGAACCTGATGGCTCTTGGCACAAAGTAATTTCCACAAGTATGAGCTACAGTATGGTGGTTGAAATGTAACCCTATTTCAATAGGGGAGCTCACTAAAAGTTCATGGAAATATGTTTTTTTATCTACTTGTCTTTCTCCTCATACATACTAGATCCTGGAGTTTGCTCAGGCATTTTTTTAGATGTTGGTTGGTTGGAGGTATACCTTTTACCATTCAGTTCCCTCACATATTTCTGCCATCTCGAGAACATATTACTTTTGTTTTTGAATTCATGTTGTTTACCAGAGGGATCCCCTGCCACCATCACCTTAAGAGGAATCCCTACGATTTTAAACAGTGAGATCGTAGGTCTTATTATGTCATGATGTTTAGTTCCCTTTGCTCATGTAGATATTTAAGGATCCTTGGGCTTATCTTTATGCAGGTTTCTCATGTTCTTTTTGTGCAGACATTTGGGGCCTCAATTCACTTCCCTTGTATTATGCATGTATATGTCCTTGGGTTTTGTTAGCAGATATGATGGCCACAATTTATGGAATGACTTACCGTATTAGCAGAAATTTGATTATGCTATAAAATATGCCATAGAATATGCTGTGATTTGATTTAATTTCTTTTCTTGTAATATGACTATGTGCTCTTTTTTTCTATAAATACTAGAGTTGTGAATGAGTGATTATTTCATTCAAGCCTTTACGCAATTCTCTCCTTTCTCTTCTTTTTATATTTCTACTTGGTATTAGAGCTAAGGTGGTCCGACTGCAATGAGGGCATTGCGAGTTCGGCACCACCCATTCGGGAATGGTCTAAGGTGACATCGCCCATCCGGGAGGTGTCGGGTAGGCAGGGTGTTCCGACCTCAATAAAAGTGCTGCGAATTTGACACCACCTATTCAGAAATGGTCCGAGGAGACATAGTTGTTTCTTTTTATGGTATGAGGAGACATTGTTGATTCTTTCATATACATTATTTAAACATATGTATGATGGAGAATGGCCTGAGGAGACATTGTTGATTTTTCCATCTACAAGTTTTTAAGATGTGTATGAAGGGAAATGGTCTGAGGAGACATTATTGGTTGCTTACGGTTTGAGGAGACATGATTGGTTGTTTATGGTCTGAGGAGACATTGTTAATTGTTTATGGTCTGAAGAGACATTTTTGATTTGTTGATCGGCACTTCATCTGAGGGAAAATCATCGCTAGTCAGATTTGCACTCCATTTGTCACAAGCTCTTAGCAGTTTGCAGACATTCTTACAAAGGGTGTTAGCAAGATTGTGTTTAAGAATGCATTGTCCAAGTTGGGCGTTTTAGATATCCACGCACCAACTTGAGGGGGGGAGTGCTAGCAGATATGATAGCCATGATTTATGGAATGACTTACTGTATTCGCAGAGATTTGATTATGCTATAGAATATGCTGTAGAATATGCCATAGAATATGTTGTGATTTGATTTAGATTTGATTTGATTTAATTTATTTTCTTGTAATATGAGCATGATCTCTTTTTATCTATAGATACTAGAGCTGTGAATGAGTGATTATCTCATTCAAGCCTTTACACAATTCTCTCATTTCTTTTCTTTTTATAGTTCTACTGGTTTGTTATTTTCTTGAATTTTATCTGATGAATCTTTGTTTATGTCTCCCTTTGCCGTTGTCAGGATTGTCACAATTCATATATGTTATAACAATCTGATCACCGGAGAAAATATATACAGTAAGCTTTCTCTTGTTGACTTGGCTGCAAGTGATGGTTTAAATGTGGAAGATGATGGTGGGAACCATGTAACAGAGTTGCTGCATGTCACAAAATCACTTTCAGCGTACGTAGTGCATTCATTTTTCAAATTGTTATTAAATTTCAACAATTTAGTGGTACTGCTTGGTCATTGGTAAAAGTTTCCGCCGTCAATTGTGAGAATACATGTTCGAGTATGAGAGCAAGCACTTTGTGCAAATAAGGCCAATGAATCACGAGTAACTAAACCCTATGAAGAATATATTTCTCTTTAGATAGCCTGGACATACTTCTAACAAGTTCACGATCCATAAACTTAGACTTATCAAAAAAAAAAAAAAAAACAAGTTCATGATCTATAAACTTAGACCAAATGCTTACCTGCTATTGTATCTTGCTCTGTTTTGTTCCCTCAAAATGAATAGCATTCACTTGATATTGATTGAGTTGGAGGGACTTTCGCTGACTGAATCCATCCATAAACTGTTGACCCCCGTAACCTTCGGAACCAAAGCGTCACGACAACATCCAAAGATGACCTTTGGATTCTTTATTGAGGAATTAATGACTAACCAATTATTAACTCCCAAATTTAGTAATGGTTCTTTTCTGTTTCATAGGGAAAAATATTGGGTGTTAGTGGGCATGGAGAGGCTAGTTGTGATTCAGTTCTATTATTTAATTTTTAGCTACAAATATTTGTGCTTGCAGGATTGTCATGTCATGTCTTTTGATTCTACTCTGTTCATCTTGCGCATTGTTCTTACTGTTTTGAACATTGTATGCGTAGGTTGGGAGATGTTTTGACTTCCTTGACCTCAAACAAGGACACTGTTCCTTATGAAAATTCAATGCTCACAAAAGTTCTTGCAGATTCAATAGGTACTCAGTTCTCTGTACTTGCATCGTTTAATGATGGCATTCTACACGTTCATTGAGTTATCTACACATTCCTTGATTATTGTAGGAATGATACAATTTTTGTTCTTTTGAAAATTTTGTCATTTCCTTCCGATTTTTTGTATTATGCTTAACTTCTATGGTAAGGTGCAATTTGCTTGATAATAAGTTACTATTCTGATTAATCAAAATCTCAGATTGATGCGGGGTTTTCTGGGAGTACCTTTTCTCAGCTCCGTTGCTAATTTTTCGTTGGAATGATTTTTTCTTAGCCTTTTGTTTTGATGTTTCAAATCTTATATTCTGGAAGGCTCTTTGCATAATCCTATATCTTTTCCACGTTAGTAACTAGTAACATCTTTATAAAAAATGAAATTAATGATTCTAAGTGCTACTCCAAATATCAGTTTACATGCATTAGGAGCTGCACAAAGAGTGCCTTTGTCACCTTTTTTCAGAAGTTGGTTGGAAGTTGAGCGTTTGAGGCCTAAGGGGCTAAATAATTGTTGCACTTTTTCGGCAATAGAATAACATGTAAGGGTGTGTTTATGCGAGCACATATTTGCACCTCGTCTCTTTTTGGGGGAGGGGATGGAAAATTATTGGTTGCATCTTGTTACTGTTAGTAACTGAATACAATAGTCAACCTTTAGAGGAGACTTGAATAGGTTCATAGTAAAACCCAATGGATCTTGCCATTTTATCTGTCTGACATTTTCATAAAATATAATTTCTGAATTTTGTAGGTGCCTAGAATGTTCTACAAGGACTAATTATTCTAGCTACTTTTTTCTTGCGCTAGTGACAAAGCTAATTGAGAAGCAAGGGGGAAATGGGAAAGCATGGTTAAATGGGAAGAACAAGGCCTGCTTAAGAAGCGAGACAACGAATATATATAAAAAAAAAGATGAGAATGTTGAAAAATAGAGATGGATTTGCAACTCTTGTGTTCTTCAGTGCTGAGTCACCAACTGTACCAGAATTAGCATTAGTCAAAATCTCGTGGTATTTAAATCTAATAAGAAAAAAAAAAAAATATTGACATTAGATATATCATGGTTGGCAAGGCTGGTATGTTTAAGATTTGTTAATGAGCCTTTGGAATATGCAACTGCAAATTTTATTGCGCACTTTGTTAAGTTGAAACACAATGTATAGAGTCTGACACCTGCCCGGTGCTGGAAGATTGATAGAGAAGCGTTATAAGCTTTTACAGGAACCGGGTGAACAGCGGCAAGAAAATTGGGGCATATGCTGGGACACATCAAGAAGCTTCTTAACAAGAATGTGACTGAGGCAGTGTTGTCCAGCACATGCTTGGACCTGCCAGGTGCCTTAATACCATTGACTGCTAATGGTCCATTAGTACCAAAATTGAGTGCGGTGTGCTTATGAGTTGTTATGTCATTATATCCATTGTGGCAAAAAACACTGAAGATAGAGAGTTTGTATTGCAACATAAGTGAAAATGGATAGTTGAAAACACTGAATAACATTCCTGATTTCCAGTATAAAAAGAAACTCTTTAAACAAAAAATAGAAGTCCAGTGATTAGAAAATATTCAGGGTTAATAGTTTAAATTCAAACAATTTAGACACCCACCCAATTAGAGGCACTAACCTTATTCACTTGATTCCTGGAATTCCTTTAGTTAGAAACATTCTACACAATTGAAAACATGGACATATTTGAAGTGTAAGAAAAGAGAATATTCTCTGCATTATTCAGATGTAAGAATATACAATATGTTCTACACAAATTCACTTAATTCATGGAATTCCTTTAATTAAAACATTCCACAGAATTGAAAACATGGATGAATTTGAAGATTTTATTATTCATAGCTGAAAAGGGAAAACTACGATCTCAAGAATGTTCCCTGCACATCTTCTGGATGAATGAAGTGGCATCTTGAAGCAACTCCCAAGTATTTCCCACCAACTTTCAAATGAATTATTTATGGTGATAATTTTCTTGGTATACCTTGGGCGTTATGCATCTGTTTGGAATGAATCGCCCACCACTCCTGAAATTTTAGCAACTAAATTTATATAATGGAAGGTAGGGAAGATGTGCACATGCACACATGCACCCACTATTGCTCTGATGGTGACTTGAACCTCCAACCCTCCATGTGGGAGGAGGAGATACGAGGTGCCTGCATAATATACAACAAAACGGCCATGATGGTGTGTTCATGTCCTATTGTTTTAGACAGTAGCGCTCTTCCTTTGTCATAAATATTATTATTCTGTTGGTAAGTCCTAGTTTTTTTTCCTCTTTCATTTTTTAAAGTGAAGTTTGGTGCTAATCCGTCTCTTTTTTTATTTTTTTATTATTGTTTCTTCTTCTGTAGGTGGAAGCTCAAAAACTTTGATGATTGTTAACATTTGTCCAAATGATTCAAATTTATCTGAGACATTATCGTCTCTCAATTTTTCTGCCAGAGCTCGAAATTCTGTACTGAGTCTTGGAAATCGAGATACCATTAAGAAATGGAGAGATGTTGTAAGTTCTGTTAAATCCCTTTCACTTCCAACTCCACCATAAGACCTAGGTTTTACTTTACGTTTCTTGTTACTTCTGTTTTATGCAATTCTAAACCAGAATTTCTATGGGCTTGGCATGGATCCTTCCTGGTTTCTAGCCGACTATACCAACTTCTGTTCAAATAGGAAATGATTTTAGTCTCTCTCAACCACTATTCTTTCCTTCAATTTTCTCTGATAAAAAACAAATAATAGCCTGTCTTGTCCTGGTCAATGTGTGCAGTTAGCATATATTTTTGCAACATACTTTTTCATCTGCTGAATTCGGGTTTGCAATATACTTTCAGGCAAATGATGCACGGAAGGAATTGTATGAAAAAGAAAAGGATATTAATGATCTGAAGCAAGAGGTTTCGGGACTAAGACAAGCACTTAAAGATGCAAATGATCAGTGTGTCCTTCTCTTCAATGAAGTTCAGAAGGCGTGGAAAGTTTCTTTCACATTACAGTCCGATTTGAAGGTTTTTTTACATCATTACCTTTTTATAGTACTCATAGAGTTGCTTGTTTTGGCAGTCAGACACGGTTTTTAACATGATCTCCTTTGAATCTTATTGAGTTACTCGTCTACTCCTTTCAGCAGTGAAAAATAAAGAACTGCTAGTTATTAGGTGGATGGTCTAAATACCACGTTACTAGGTTCTTCTGGTAAAAAATATGTTTAGGTTTATGAAAGAGAAGAATTGACTTTAATTTCCAATTCTGCTAGGGTGGGTCCAGTGTTGCATGGTTCAATTGTTAAAGATACTAGTTTTACTTGAAACTTTTATGTGAGAAATAAGCGATCTTCTACTAATTTTATCTTCTTGATTGAGTGGATAAGATAATTACTGGTACTATGCAGCATTGTTCTTTTTTGTTTACATTTGTGGATGCATGTCTCAACTCAACAGACTGAACTGGTTTCATATGGTTATGTAGTAATGTTTACTATGAAGTGATTGCTGATATTCGCCTTCTGTGACTATGTTCTTTGTAATTCATACCAGGCTATTACATTTTCACAACCCTGTTGTAGAAGTTGTATTATGGTGCCTTCTTATGCAATGTCAAACTGTTTGAGACTTATTCCTTATTCAATTAGATGGTGTGTAATGATGTTTGATTGAACCCAACGGCACATCGTAGTGAAAATATTTTTCACCAAGTTTCTTTTTGTGCTGTTCATGCAAGTGTTATGTAACATCACCAAAGGCATTGTAGCCTAATGGTACTTCCTCACCTTCCAAAGTGATGGTCGAGGGTTGAAATCCCCAAAGGGGAATAGTGGATGTGTTATTGTGTTTCTTGCCAATGAAAAAAAAGAAAGTGTTATGTAACATCCATTTTGCTATGTCTGGTTAGAATGTTACCAACTGCTCTCTCATTTGATGCAGGCAGAAAATATTTTGCTGGCAGATAAACATAGGATAGAAAAGGATCAAAATGCTCTGCTTAGAAATCAAGTTGCTCAACTATTACAGTTGGAGCAAGATCAAAAATTGCAGATACAGCAACGTGATTCAACAATTCACACATTGCAGGTTGGTCCTTTATTGACTGCTTTCTTGATCATGCTATGTTTTTTACATCAAGCAAGTCTTCAATTTTTTTAACTCATTATTGCTGAATGTTTAAACTGTTAATATTGCCTCTATTTTTTTTATTTTTTTATTTTCATCTTTTCTGCATCTGTAAGGATGTATGGCCCTCGACAATGTAGGAATACTTAATAGTTCATGAAAGTTCCACCATAATTTTTGATTGATGTTGATGATATTTTGAAACTATAGAAACTCATTCTATATCAATCTGTGATGGATATATGTTTTAAATGGGAATTTTGAAAATTTTGGAACTATTATAATCGGTACTATATGCATGCTTCCTGATCCTGTGTAAGATTATGATTTCATTAGAAGCTTGACAGAAGACGAGAGTTGTAGTCGGTGTGTAAAGCTTCTAAAACTTCCCAAGGTTGATAAATGATATTCAAGTATCCATTATAAATTTTTTTTTTTTGATAAGTAAATTTTATTAAAAAAAACCGCTCAAAAGGGGAGCGAATCCCAAGGACAAAACAAGGCCAAAAGCGCCTCAAGCCTTCAAAGAGGCAAAAAAAAAACAACTAACTTCTCTACAAATCTAAAATCTCTCCCTGAAACCCAACAAAAAAGGGTGAAAATAATAGAGAACTTAAGCATAGAGGTAGGCTTTTCCTTTCCATCGAAATATCTCCGATTTCTCTCAAGCCAAACGCACCACCAAATACAAAGAGGCGTAGCCCTCCAAGCGTCCCGAAATGAGAGCCCGCACTGAAAATCCTCTCCAAGCCTCAATCATCCCTCTAGAGGATCTAGGCATAACCCACGGAATCCCAAACAACCCAATCATCAAATCCCAACAGCCCCTAGCCATGCTGCAATGAAGGAGAAGGTGATCAACGGTCTCCTCATCTCGCAAGCACAAATAACAACGATTAACCACTACTTAATTCCTCCTCCTCAAATTATCCTAGGTTAAAAACTTACCCAAGACAGAAGTACATGCAAAGAAGTCCACCTTGAGGGGTGCCTTAGATCGCCAAATAGACTTCCAAGGGAAAAAGCCTCCAGAGCCAACCGTAAGACACCTGAAAAAGGACCTCACCTCGAAGCGACCTTGAGGATTAGGAATCCAAAGCCAACAATCAAAATCCCCAGTTGTAATCGTCTGACGATACAATAACCCCAAAAAACGGGTGACCTCCTCAATTTCCCAAATCTGGAAGTGCCTCCTAAACTGAATATCCCAAGTCAGTCTCCCGTTATCAAGATGATAACAGTCAACCACCAAGGCCTGCCTATGAGAAGTAATCCTGTAGAGCCGTGGGAAAGTAAGCGCAAGAGGAAGCTCCCCACACCAAAGATCCTCCCAAATCTGATCCTCCTACCATCCCTGATTTGAAAACGAACATGTTTGTAGAAATCATCCCACCCCTTCCGAATGCCAGTCCAAACCCCCACTCCCCTAGGACCATGCACCACAAGGGAACTCCACCCTCCACTGCTCTCCCCAAATTCATGGGCAATAACCCTCCTCCAGAGGCGTTAACGCCTCTCCACCCCAAACCTCCAAAGCCATTTCCTAAGGAGAGCCTTATTGAAAGGCAACAACCTTCTAATCCCTAAGCCACCACTCCGAATTGGACAATACACTTGCTCCCAACAAACCAAGTGAAACTTGAACTCCTCCCCTCCTCTCCCCACCCCCACCCCCACCCCAACCCAAAGAAAATTGTGCTGCAATCTCTCAATCCTCTCCGCCATAGAGGAAGGAATCTGAAAGAGAGAGATGAAATAAGTAGGGAGGCAAGAAAGGGTACTCTTAATCAGAGTGGCCCGACCCCCCTTAGAGAGATACTGCTTCTTCCAACCCGCCAGCCTTCTCTCAAATCTATCCACAACCGGATCCCAGCTCCCCACACACCTCGAAGAAGCACCCAGGGGCAACCCTAAGTAAGAAATAGGAAAGGAGCCAGTGTGGCAACCAAGAATCTAGGCAAACCTCTCAATCTCAGGAACCTCCCCAACTGGCACACGAACACTCTTACCAACATTCAACTTTAACCTAGAGACAACTTGGAACCAGACCAAAACACATCTCAGATATCTCAACTGAGACGCATCAGCATCACAGAGCACTAAAGTATCATCAACAAACATCAAGTGGGAGATCTCTAACTGGCTGGCAGCATCCCTGCCCCACCCTAAAGCCTTTCAAAAATCCCAACTCAACCACTCTCTTAATCAATCTACTAAGGACCTCCATCACAAAGAGGAACAAGAACGGAGAAATAGGATCCCCTTGTCTCAACCCCCTCGAACTAGAGAAAAAACCGGTCGGAGCTCCATTCACAAGAACTGAGAAACGAGTACAAGAAATACAAAACATATTCCATCTTCTCCAACGCTCCCCAAATCCCATCCTCTCCATTAAGTAGAGGAGGAAGCTCCAGCTACATGATTGTACGCCTTCTCGATGTCCAGCTTGCACAAAACACTCGGACTCCCACTACTCAATCTGGAGTCCACACATTCACTAGCAATAAGAACTGAATCCAAAATCTGACGACCTCCCACAAAAGCATTCTGAGAGTCAGAAATGACACCATCCAAGACCTTCCTCAACCTAGAGGTCAGGACTTTAGCAATCAACTTGTAAAGGCACCCCACCAAGCTAATAGGGCGAAAATCCCTAACATCAAATGCCCCTCCCTTTTTCGGAATGAGAGCAATAAACGTGGCATTTAAGCTTTTCTCAAAAGAGCGCTAAGCATGGAAAGCGTGAAAAGTGCCTATCACCTCCTCACGAACCACCTCCCAGCACTCTGAAAGAAATCTCAATAGAAAAACCATCTGGACTTAGGGCTTTATCCCTGTTACAGCTCTTTAACGCGGACAAAACTTCCTCTTCAGAAAACGGCTCCTCCAGAACAGAGCTCTCCTCACCCGATAAAGAATCAAACTGAAGCCTTGCGAGCAAAGGTCTCCAACCAGTAGATTATGTAAACAACATCGAATAGTAATCTGCAATACCCTTGCAAATCTCCTCCTCCTTACAAAACACCTCCCCATCCACTTGGATTCTCCCAATGTGATTGCCCCTTCTATGAGCCTTGGCAAGTCTATGATTTTTTTTTTTTTTGTGTGTTATTATACCCTTCCTTGAGCCACAAAGCTCTAGACTTTTGCCTCCCTGAAATCTCTTCCATGACAGCAAGCTCCGCCTGACACTCCACTCTCCTAAGTCTTAAGGAGTCCAACAAAAAGCCCCGACCCTCCATCCGATCAATATCAGCAATATCTGAAAAAACCCGTTTCTTTCGCCAAACCAGATTACCGAAAACCTCTTTATTCCAAACTTTAAGATCGTTCTTCAACAGACGCAGCTTACTTGCGAGAGAATGACCAGGGGAGCCACTCACACTATACCCCTCCCACCAGGATCGAACTCGCTCCAGAAATCCCTCAGCTCGAAGCCATATATTCTCAAATCTAAAAGGGGATCTTCTTCTACGCAACCCACCACAATCCAACATCAACGGAACATGATCAGAATCTCTTCCCATGCAAATAGTAACTCCCTTGCTACTAAAATCACAAAGCCGAGAGGAGCCAAGCCCGTAATCACTGCCTTCACCTTGACAATCAAGCTTCGGCTCTCCCTCAAAAACCGGGGACAAACATTTAGAAACCGAATCCACCACTCCCTTTTTCAACCCCAAACACCTTCGTGACTCCCCACAAGGATGAGAGGAAGAGGGAGAAGAAGGGTGAAAAGGAGAGAGCCCATGCAAATAGATTGACTTACCCGGATTATAGTCAACCTGCATACTCGGAACCCATTTCTACTTCTCCTTCCTTGTCCATCTTCTACGAAAAGATGAAGAAACACCTTCTTCTTTAATCGGTGTCCCTGCACATGGCCCTTAGATCGTCGTCCTCCTCTGGAGCCTTCAGAAATCACGCTGGACGGCTTAGCAACATTGCCATCCACAACATTAGACAGGGCCCAAATCTATTGCCCAACATTGGCCTAGAAACGGCGTTAAAAGAACTCGGTCCGCCCTTCAATCCACAGCCCTGTTTAGCAGGCCCAAATGCAACAATTTCTCTCGGCTGGGTCGTCTCACCTTTAACCTTTCCACTTGAAGAACAGTCCAAATCCGAAGGCATAGCCCTCGTGCCAAACTTGCCAAACAAAGGCCCACACGGGGAAGGGACACTTACTCCCAAAGCCCTATCCTTCGGCCTATCATTAGCCCATCTCCACAAGAGTGCATCATAGCCTCCAAAGCCTAGAAATTTGAATTGGAGTTGGAACCAGCTGTATTCCACTTAAAACGGCCGATCCCTGTGCGCCATCCATGCGTATGGACAGCAAGGCTCCTCCTTCCACGGGCTTGATTCGCGTGAAAACCACCACGTTGTCTTCCTTGATCCCACATCTGCAAGAACGCTGGACGGCCAATCTCGGTGAAAGCTCCACTCGTCTGAGTTTCCTGGAAACCCACATGCCGGCGACGATCATTCACACCCGACGAACCTTCTTTTCTCTTCTGAGTGAAAATCCGTTGAAAACATTCCGAATTGCGAATCCAGAGGGCATCCGTTCACTCCTTCGGTCTCTGAAGCTCTGCTAATCCCTTCTTTCCCATAGATTCCCATCTTAACCATTCGGTCTCCTTGAGCAAGTGCGAGCCATCCCCTCCTTCTAAACTATCCGTCGTCGGCACAAGTTCCAGAGGCTTCTCTTCCCACACAAATAAACCCACCACACAAATCTCTGACCGTCATGGACAGGGTATGATTCCAGAGATAAAGAGGGAGACCATAAAGTGTCACAATCTTCAGCCCCTTTCCTTTCAACACCTTAGAACACGCTACCCTGAAACTCCAATTGTCCACCCGTAAGTGGCCGTCCCCTAATCACGGTGCCCCTCTTTGAGCACCTGTGGAGCTTCCGTCGAAGAGGGAAAGCGAAACAGCAGCAAGGAGTCCGGCAGAGGAGAAACCACAACTCCGGAGGAAACCTTCCAAACACGAGACGCCCAAGCCGCGATTTGAGCCCTATCACCCACTTCCTTATCAAACTTGCCCACCAAACACGAACGAAGGTCCTCTCTTCTCCTTCCAACCGAGTCGTCATCCAGAAAAATCGAAGGCCCTCTATACGTGTTTGCAGATCTCGCAGTCCCACCTTGAAACAGACAAGGCAACCTAGCAACTTCCAAGAACGAACGCATAAAAAAGGCGATGAAAACAGAAAACACAAACTTCAAACCCAACAGAGAAAGAGAAAACACGAAAAAAGAAAAGTGACAGAGGATTTCACCGGAGTTTATGATTCCGGTGACTGGTCGGAGTAGTAGACTCTGGCCGCATCTCTTCCACAGCAAGCTTTCTCCATCCGGTCAGCAATCAATGAAGAGGGCTATGACAAGCTTGTTTGCCATTATAATTATAAAGCCTTGAGCCAAAGAAATTTGATTATCTTGGGAATTATCTGGGTTGATCCTTGGGATACACCTGATGCTTCTTATTATCTCCTCATTACTAGATTCTATGAATTATTAGTGCCACTTTGGCAGAAAATGGTTTTGGGGGGCAGGAAAGTTGAGATGAGTATCATGGCATTGCTTGAGAGAGCACTTTTCTTCTCCAGATTAACTTTATATATCTCTGTTCACCAATCTAGAAAGTTTGCGTCATTGTCTTGCTCCAAGCTCCATCAATCATACAATTTAGAAAGGTATGTGGCCTAAAAGTTGATTCAAGAAGTCCCTAATTGACCTTGACAAATCGGTAAAGTTGCTCTACTATCAATTAGGAAATCATTTAAAACTAATTAATAATATTTTGAATATATTTAGGAAATTCAAAATTAAAAATAATTTAATTGGGTATGGATTTGGAAACTTTATTTTTGGTAAGAATTCCTGGATTTTGTGTTTTGGTAAGAAATAATTTAATTTAATTATTTTTTTTTTTCTGGAAGTTCGGCAACAATATAAGTTGTGAATTTATGTCTCTTCAAGTTATAAATACAATAATTGAAATCTTGTGAATCGTGATAAGCTTTATGTTTCAAGAAATTAGAGTCCATAAACTTTCCAATGATATATTATATGTGACTAATTTTGAATCCATTTGACCCCTCAATGAAACATTTAAAGTCAGACTATCTGTAGTCAGATTTGGCAGAAAAATTCGATTGATGAACTTCGCTGGAGTTGCTTCGATTGATCGAAATACTAATCAAACATTGCTGGAGTTGTTTCGTTCAATCAAAATTTCCCTTTGATTGATCAAACGGACACACGGAGTGTAGGAAAAATGCGTTAATAAGTTTGAAAAGGTTTCCAAACTTTCCAAAACTTTCCTAATCTATTTATAGTCACTCCAACACTATAGCAATGTGTTCTAGGATTCTCTAAACATAAGAGACGCAACTACTCGATTATGAGCGAGATTGTGAGCTTTATTTTTTCAATCACAAGTGAGATTCTCCATATAAATATTGTGTGACTGAGTTCTAAAGTAAGGAGCTTCACTGAATACTTGTATATTAATCAAACACATTGTATTCACATCAAACAAAGGATTGGATGTGACTTGTCATTGGAGATAAAAGTATGGGTTGAAGGGCGGATCGTGTGAGGAGTGTTTTTTAGTTTATTGGTAGCAACAAGAGCTTGGGTGGGAGCTTCTGGCACAAGACTGAGTTTGTGATAAGCTGGGGATCTTTGGTTTATAGACTAGTTAACCTACTTGTAAGAGTACATATATGAGTTTGGGTCAATTTAAATACTTTTTTTCTTTTTTCTTTATAAGTAATATTCCTATTAAAGAGCGCTCAAAAAGGGCATGCATCCTGAAAACAACTACAGAAGGACCAACAAGGGCCTCTATACCCTCCACATATCCACAAAATCCATTATATCCATCTCAGATTTACAATTCCAACCCTGTACCCAAAAATAAGGAATTAAGAACAGAGAACTTAAGCACCCATATTGGAACCTCCTCTCTAAATTAAAGGATCACCTGTTCTGCTCCCGCCACAAGTCCCACCGTAAACAAAGGGGCGTCACCCTCCAAGAAGTTCGGACTTGCCTCCTCACAAAACAATCTCTCCAAGCCTCTACCATCTTCTCTGGGGACTTCAACATGACCCAATGGACACTGAAAAGGGCAAGAATCATGGTTAAGCTATCCCTGGCCTTGGAAGTGCAAGAGAAGGTGATTAACTGACTACTCACTTGTCCTACAACTTGAATTGGCAATAATTAGACGTCTTCTCCTCAGATTATCAATCGTCAAGATCCTCCCCAATACCACTGTCCATTAAAAAAAAGCCACCTTAAGAGGTGTCTTGCTGCGCCATACTGCCTTCTAATGAAAAGAAGGCCCGTGCGCATCCGCCAACCTTTGATAAATGGAACACACTGCAAATATTCCCTGATTGGAGCCTATCCAACACCACTCATCAAGCCCCATCCCACCCCACTGTTAGAGAGTGAGTGAGTTTTATATATTTTTATTTTTCATATTTATTAAGTGTAGTGTTGTATTTTCCGTGTTTTTAGTTAGGGCCTGCAAATGTTGTTTGTTGTATTTCTCTCTTGAAATTCTTTGTCACTTCTGTCACACTCAAGTAAGCTTGTTTCAGTTGGCAGTTTGTCTCAATTTTAAATTATAGATTCCATTACGAATGCACTTGGCTGGATTGTAGATTACTCACATCTGATCACCATTTTCTAAATTGTGGTGATATTATTCAGCTTTTTTGGTACTTTACTGATGCAGGATAAGCTAAGAAGCATTGAATCTCAACTGAATGAATCCCGTCACTCTAGTGAGGGTAGGTTGATGATGGGCTCTGAATCAAAGCATGTAGCTCAGTCAATTCCCAAGGCGGCAGGGGATGGCTTGGATTCTGCTGTAGTTACCAAGAAACTTGAAGAAGAACTCATAAAACGTGATGCACTTATTGAGGTCTGTTATTTTTGACAACTCTATATGTCTGGGGGTGCATTTTAAATGCTTGTTGGTGATGGTAAATTGCTATTGCATATATCTTTGACATCTTTTTTCTCTATCCATTCACTTACTTGAACATGGAAAATTCCTCAAAATTTGTCTATCTCCAAGTTTAGTAAGCATTGTAGTTCTCTGTAATTGGTGCGAGCTTAATGAAAAAAATATATATTTGTACCTGTTCGACAGGAGGAAGAATTCTGCATGTGGGATCTAAAACATGCTTTTATTTGCCTACATGCTAAGCAACTGAGAAATAAATTGTTATAGAGAAAACATGTCTAAATTAAGGATGTTTCGATTGTACTAGTTGATGATGATATAAGGAAAGGAGAAGGCCGTGATTGTGTTATTATAGATTGTCAAAAAGAAAGGTGGTATAGAGTCATATAACCAAGTTGAGTTGAGTTGATTTTTTTCTTCCTTAATGTCCTGGGTTAGGATTTTTACCACATTTGGCATAACTTCTATATTTTCTGGTTCTTTTTGAATTTCCACCAAATAAAGCTTTCAGATATGTATTTTTAATCGCCGGTGTTTTTAACTCATATTGACTCTTGAAACAGGTTGATCTGGTCAATTCTAGTACTTATAAAAAAAGATCTGGTCAATTCTTGGGGTCATATTTCCACGACTCCAAGTTGAGTTGAGTTTTTTTCATTCTTTAGTATCCATGTATACAATTCCTTACTAGAGTTTGATGTAAAAACCATTACTCAGTGTTGGACCTGCCTATGAAGGATATTAGAACGGTTGGAGTGAATATAGAACTAACTTTTCACAATTTTTTTTTTTTTTGCACAAAATGATTGCTGTCAGATTCAAACCTGTATTCTCATGCTTGGCAGCCAAGCTTTTACACTTTCACCATTCAATGACCCATTTTACTGGGTTTTGACATATATTTTCAAGTTCTTTCTGATGTAGCATTGTCTAGCAGATCTAGCTTTTGACCACTTATTTTTAGACTTTCTTGATATGCTTTAAATGTGCACTGCGTGAAATGAGGGGTGCGTGTATAGTTATATTTGTTTGTTTGTGTGGGCAATGCTTCTTGCACTGAAAATGTTCAAGTCATTGTCAATTTAGGCCACGCTGCTTTAGTTTTTATCACTATTAGTATTACTGCTATTGCTAGTTAACACCCCCAACTTAATTTGCACAATTACTCCTGAAATTATGAAATGCAAGTTGTGTTCCTCGTTCTTTTAGATTGTCTTGGATTTCATTATGGTGATGAATTTTTCTAAATCTTTGCATTTTAATTAATTATTACCAAAGCAGATGTAATGCTTTTTTGGGTTTTTGTAACATATACCTGAACACAAATTTCATCATCCCAATCATTAAATTGAGGAAAGTGGAAATAATTTAGCAAAAATGAACAACTATCATTCTTATAACTCTGCTTCCTAGGGCATCATGAAAACGTTCTCAACTTCGCAACCTATTAGGTAGTGTTGCTTTGTTTTGTGACTTTTGTCTGCCTCATTCCTAATTTGAGGCATATTGGAGAATATTATTATAGGAATGGCCCCTAAAATCACTCCCATTAGTGATTTAAGGGTTTTAATCATAACTGTAATAATATTATCCAACAAGGCAAAACTTTCACTTTTAGTTGTAGGGAAAGTTTAATAAAGCAAAAAGTTAAGTGTAATGAGTTTTAGACCAAGGGTTGTAGCCCACTGTTATCTCCTCGACCTCTGAAAGTGGATGGTTGAGGGTTCAAGTTCCTATAGAGGCAAACGTGGGTTTGTGTGTTATTTGCAAGGACAAAAAAAGAAAAAAAGAAAAAAAGTGTAATAAGATTTAGATTGTTTGACAGACGAGAACATGTAGATGATGACAATGAAGTGTAATCAGGGATCTACTCTTTTCCCTTCCCCTTTTTTTGCACCTGTTAGATAAGCACTGGCTCTAAGAGGTTAAGATGTCCGGGAATTGGACAAATTTACATATCAAGTTTTCATATCCTTTGTTACATGCAGTGTTCTCTCACGTAGAGAGATAGACAGACAGATAGAATTGTTAGGTCAATAGGACTTAATTTGGCTAACTTTGGTAGTTAGTTGATTTACCTCTATCCAAAGGCAGAATGGAGATTTCACTTATCAAAAAAAAATTCAAGTAATTGCTACTTTCAGAATTGTGGACTCACCAAATTAGGTTTCATATCATGCATTCATATGGTTTAGCATACTAGAGTTTTCAATTTGCTTGTTTTGATCTATAAAAATGTTTTTTAAATGCATTAAATTGATCGAAAGGTCGCTCGAAGCTCGCTGGACTAAGTTTGGTCTATTGAACCTATGTCATGGTCAGTGAAAGTCAGTGGGAAGGAATTGCTAGATTTTGGTTATTTCATTCATCATCCATGCATATAGATGGTGAGTTACTTATTGAACATGCATATCCTAGAGCATTAGGGACTTCAACAACAAACAGGATCCACACAACAATTAAGGATTTGGTGAGTAGTCATGGAGATTGAAGAACGTATCATGTGAGGAACGGAATCATTACTTGATAGGAGAAGAGTTCGAGGATGAAGTCTGGCTTGAGTATGGGTTAGAGGTAACTAGGTGATTCTGGGGTTAGAATCCAAGATCTAGGTTTGTAATCCTTTTCTCAAATTTTGTGTGTATAGGCTAAATAACATTTATTTTTTTTGATAAGTAAGAATTAAATAAAAAGGCGTTCAAATGGGGAATGCGTCCCTTATACAAAAGTGGAACCCGGGTCTAAGGCCCCAAAGAATCCAAAAAAATGATTAAATCATCGGAAGAGGAGCAAGAATTCCTCTTCACATAACTGAAAAGAGAGCGAATAATATGAAGTTTCAGCGTCGCCGTGGACGACTTCTTCCTTTCGAACATTCTGCTATTCCTCTCCTTCCAAATGCACCACCATACACAATGAGGAACAATTCTCCAATAATTGCGTACACCACTTCTCACATGACATCCTCTCCAAGCATGAATCAAATCCTTAGAAGAACGTGGCATTACCCAAAGCATGCCAAACAAACCAAGCATAAGATTCCAATAGTGGTACGCCACGGGGCAATGCATGAGGATATGATCAACTGACTCACCATCTTGTTTGCACAGGCAACACCAATTAACAAAACAGTTACCTCTCTTCCTCAAATTGTCAATCGTCAGGATCTTAGCCCATACAGCAGACTATACAAAGAATGCCACTCTAGTTCACGGAAAGTCAAGGCTATCATAGTTAGATAGACATAGGAACATGGATCGAACTTCGAAACGACCATGGGAAGAGGGGATCCATGTCAGATCGTCACTACCTTTGCCAATTGCCTCCTGCTGATACAACATATCTAAAAGAACACATACCTCGTTCATCTCCCAATCCTAAAAAGAATGCTGAAAGTACACGTCCCACGTAATCCCACTATTATCAAGCCGATAACAGTTAGCTATGTAGGCATGTCTATCAACTGCAATGCTGTATAATCTGGGAAATGTACGAGATAAAGGCTGGCCACCACACCAAAGATCCTCCCAAAAAACGAACACATCTGCTATCACGAACTTTGAATCTGATGTGAGAAGAGAAGACATCCCATCCCTTCCGAATGGATTTCCACACCCCCGACTCCTCCCACAAGAGAAATCAGACGGGTAGAACAATTGCCACTCTCTTCCCCAAACCGACATGAAACTAGCCTTCGCCAAGGGCGATGTCTTTCCCTCCCGTATCTCCACAACCATTTACCCAGGAGAGCTTGATTAAAGGGAACCAATCTCTTGATACCTAGACCGCCCAACTTCATGGGCTTGCAAACTTGCTCCCATCAGATAAGGTGATACTTAAACTCTTCGCCCCAAAGGAAATCCCTTTGTATTTTTTCAATCTTATCAGCAACAGAGCATGGAATTTGGAACATAGACAAAAAATATATGGGTAGGCTCGATAAAGTGCTCTTTATAAGAGTAGCTTTCCCCCCCTTAGACAAATATTGCTTCTTCCATCTTGCCAATCTCTTCGCATACCTGTCAATCACAGGGTCCCAACTCCCCACTCTCCAAGAGGAAACCCCTAGGGGCAAACCTAATTAAGGAATAGAAAAAGAGCTCACCCTACACCCAAGGGCTGCAGCAAAGGAGGAAATATCCTGAACATCCCCAACCGGGACAAGCTCGCTCTTAGCCATGTTGACCTTCAGCCCAGAAACCGCTGAAAACAGGCCAGGATGCATCTCAAGTATCTAAGTTGAGACACATCAGCATCACAAAAAACCAGGGTGTCGTCCACAAAAAGTAAATGAGAGATCTTCAACTGATGGACTAGATCTCTACCCACCCAAAGCCCTTTATGAGACCGAGATCCTTTGCCCTCCTCCTAAGTCTGCTCAAACCCTCCATTACAATTAGAAAAAGGAAAGACGACAAGGGATCTCCTTGTCTTAAACCCCGGGTACACCCAAAGAAACCAGCAGGAGACCTGTTCATAAGAACAAAGAACATGACAGACGAAAGACATGTCTCTATCCATTTCCTCCATCTACTTCCAAACCTCATTCTCTGTAGCAAATATAGCAGGAAATTCCAGTTCACATGATCATAAGCTTTTTCAATGTCAAGTTTGCATAAGACTTTGGGGACACCACTTCTCAATCTGGAATCCACACATTCGCCTGCAATAAGAACTAAATCTAGTATTTGCCGTCCTCCGACAAAAGTATTCTGGGAATCCGAAATAATAACATTTATAAAGATCTTTTTATTTAATCATTAGTTATGGTCAAATGTGTTGTGGTCAAATGTGTTGATATTGATTGTATAGTAAAGGAAGTATAAATGATTCTCAAAAAGGAAGAAGCGGAAGAAATTAATAAATTTATGGATAATTTCAGTACTTTAGAGAATCAATCAAAAATTTATTGATTCCATTTGCACTCAATAAAGTTGGATTTGAGATATCAGTGGATTATTAACCAAGAATGTTGCCTTTTCTTGTAAAGCTTATGTCCCCTAATATTAATTCTCTTGTGACGCTTGGAAATGCAATTTTTTCTTTATCTATATATTTCCGAATCTACCTTTCCCATTCTTTATAGAAGCAGAAAATTTCTTGCTCCCTTCAGTTATTATTATACAGTTCTTTTATTGTAAGACATTAGTATGCTTCTTTTGCAGAGGTTGCACGAGGAAAATGAGAAACTGTTTGATAGATTGACCGAGAAAGCGAATTTAAATGGATCACCGCAGGTTGTTTTATTTATCTATATAGTTATTTTTTCGTTTTATTCGAATAATTCTATATTTTATTGTCATGACGGACAATGTTCCGTGGTGTCAGGTGTGATTGATTCTGAAAATGTCAATACTTAATTTTTTATGTCCATGACATTTGATTTTTTGCTTATCTTTGTTAATGGTATTCTAGATGTTATTGGCTTATGTTCACTTACGAAATCCTATATGTTATTGTCAGTGTTCACTGTTCTTTGAAACATTTAAATAGTTGAAAGTGGATGTTCTGGATATTCAAATTTCTTTTTTAAATTGTCCCACAATAGTTGGCCTCAAATACAAAGTGCTGTAACTTCCTCAATTACCTTTTATAGTAAAATGTGTATGCATTAACTAATGTGGAGTGTTGATTTTGGAGATATTTACTTTCTTTCTTGGATAATTGCATTTTATTGTTGGAGACCTAAAAGATTTTGATTTTCTTCATGGACAAACAAATTGGGACAGAGGGAGTATTTAACTGGTCTTTCAAGGGTCATAAGAACAGAAAAAACAGGTATTTGGGCTGCAATTTTCCCTGAAACAGCCATTATTTTGATTCAATTCATTCAAAGAAGAACATCAAATGATTCTGTCCAAAACTTGTGACAGGTCCAGTGTGTTGGTTTTATAGGAAGCTTTTGGTGATTATTTTTGGGATTTTGTAGTGGAGTAAAGAAGATATTTTGATATAAATGGAAAGATTACCATATAATGTCATCAGATAGTGACACTTATCAGATATGTGGTCTATGAAAATAATATTGAGATTGGGTTAATCTTCAAACTATGGTGACATAGACAGCAAAATTGAATTAAAGACGTACACCAAACATTATTAGTCAAAACAATGACGTTTTAGATAAATGGAAAAATTATTTTGAAGGATTATCAAATGAGACTATGAGAGTATCCTAGATAAAAAGTTATATCTTTTTGCCGGAATAATTTCTAATTCATTTAATTTTATGATGAAAAGAATTATATTAGTTACTTATAAAAATAAAAAACAAAAAAAACCCACATTAGGCATTATTTTTTAAACACTGATTGTCTCAAGTAGCTGAAAAAATTAGTGCCTCTCTTTGAAGGATGAATGGATTTTGCTCCTCCACATGGTTGTAATTGGGTTACTTGGGTTTGCTTTTTCATATCGGTTTCCTGAAATTGTGTTATTAATAATTTTTTTTTTCTATCTATTTATATATCTGCTTAATAATTGGTTGATGGATGTGGTTTTCTACGATTATTATTTTTTCCTCATAGAGTTGCCTTGCCTAGAAAGCATGGACACTCCTCTCTAGGGGTGCCATGTTGGTGTCGGACACGTGCATGATACAGCCGGACACGTGTCCAACATAGCTCCGTGTTTCCCGGATTTTGTTTTTTATTTTTTATTTTTTATTGGGACACGGATGAGGACACATTTGGGACAATGGGGTAGTTTTGCAATTATATTATATATTTTAAGAAACGTGATCGAATGCAATTTTAATACATAATATAAGTAAATAGAATGATAATTAAGTTAATAAAATGATAATTAAAGTTTTAAAAAACAAAAAAACAGCACCTATCCAGCCCCAAGCCACATATTAGTGATTTCATAATCATATTGTGGTCAAATTAGTAAAAATTACTTATCAAAAATAAAATGAGCAAAAATTATTATTATTAAGTATTTTTTTTTGTATTTATAATATTGTATTACATTATTATTCTATTGTTACAACCTGCGTATCCGTATCAATGTCCTATTGTTTTTTTTGAGATTGGCCGATCACCAGGTCCGTATTGTATCGTACCTGTGCCTCGTGTCCATATCATGCTTCATAGTGCCTTGCTATATGGTCATTAGGTGGATTTTGTTTTGGTGTTTGCGCTTCTTCTTTGCAACTAACAGGTTCCAGATTACTCATTTGGTTCCCCTCTTTTTTTCAGGTGTCAAGTCCATCACCCAAAGGTCTTGTTAGTGCTCAGGCTCGGGATCTGGGGAGGTACTCTTTCTTGTCCATTCAAGAATGTTCATAGTGCTTATTTTTTTTTATTTTTTATCTTTTCTTTTCTACTGTTGTCATGTACTTTCATGTTTCTTTTTGAATTGTAATCCTTTTTGTGCTTTATTTTTCTGTTAAATTAATGAACAGGAATGATACCAATAGTAAAGGACATTCTATGGATGTTGTCCCTTTGCCGTTGGCCACAGACAAGACTGAAGGCACTGTTGCTCTGGTAAAGTCAAGTACTGAGAAGGTGAAGACGACCCCAGCAGGAGAATATCTTACTGCTGCCCTGAATGACTTTGATCCTGAGCAATATGACAGTCTTGCCACAATTTCTGATGGAGCAAACAAGCTTCTGATGCTGGTATGCTTAGTGATCTTTCATATTTACCGTCTGAAATGGAAACCTGTTACCATCTCATCAAGAACATGCTGTTTAGCTAGAAGCTGCATCATGTTGCCTCATTGTGCTATCCGCTTTCAGTTTCCTTTCTTAACCAGTTAAATTGCCCTTTTAAAATTTATTGCCTTCCAGATTGAGACTGTCTTTGAAAATTCATAATGAAAGTCTTTCAAGACTTAAAATCGACTACTTCCAATTCTTTTAATGTTTGCTAACAACACAATTTGAGAAATGTGGAAGTTTGTAAGAATAGAAATCATATTGATGTTAAACAGTTCATTTAAATTTTCAAAAATTGTTCTCCTGACAGAAAATTTTGCAAATGCTGAAATGACGAGGAAGGATTCATGTCATCAACCCCAAGCGGTTGTAATATAAGACTTGGCTGAATTTTCTACTAATATAAGTTTAAAAATCTGATCAAGGGTATTTATTAAAGGTCTGCTTTTGTGAAAGTGGTTTTGTTAAAAATAAGCAGTTATGTTTAAACCATCAATAGTGTTGCGACTTTCTTGGTGTTAAGTAATGGATACTGTATAACTTATTGCAGCTAAGAAGCTATGCTACGATCGAACTGGGTCTCTCTCATATTTTGGCAACGCGTACATAACATTTTTCAGTTTCTTCTTGTCATAAAACATTGTTATTATTTCTATATTTATGCTCAACTGACACTCTCATTGATGGCTGACACTTGATGGGTACCTTGTTGCAGCTTTGATTTCTTTGTATTTATGATGATTGATGACAATGCATTGGAAAATCTGAAATAGAAATGACCATATTTGTTACTGTTGCTGTGACTTGAAATGTAATGTATAGAATAGCCAGGATATTTGTTTTGTGTCATTTTTGGTAAATCTAATTATTATTTTTACTTATGAGAACTGTGTGCTTGCAATATTGAAGGTTTTGGCTGCAGTCATTAAAGCAGGTGCTTCTCGTGAGCATGAGATTCTTGCTGAAATAAGAGATGCTGTTTTTTCTTTTATCCGTAAAATGGAGCCGAAGAGGGTAATGGACACTATGCTTGTTTCTCGTGTTAGGATTTTGTATATAAGATCGTTGCTTGCTAGATCACCAGAGCTGCAATCTATCAAGGTAATGAAGCATAGCTGCCATATAGCTAACCTTTTTGTAATATTTTGTTGAGAATAATTGTCATCACCCGTGCTATTTGTAAAGTTAATGTCTGATTTTTCTAATTTTAGGTTTCTCCTGTTGAGCGCTTTCTAGAGAAGGCTAATACTACTGGACGCAGCAGAAGCTCCAGTCGGGGTAGCAGCCCTGGAAGATCTCCTCTGCGTTATGATTCCAGCATGAGGAATTCTTTTGTTGATGAGCACATTCAAGGCTTTAAAGTAAACATAAAGCCCGAAAAGAAGTCAAAATTATCGTCAGTTGTTCTGAAGATACGTGGAATTGATCAGGTGGATACTAAAATAACCCTTCTTTAGTGTTGTTGGCATTTACTTTTTCTGTGTTTTCGGGGAGAAGGAGAGGGGGAGCTATATAATACACCATGGCCATGATAATATACTGAAAACTGGCCCTTTGAATTGCCTGAGGCTGAAAATCAACCGTATTGTTCATGAATAGATCTGGCCGACTTGATACTTAGTCATTTATTTAGTTAATGATCCTAAGGTCGAGCGTAATTTGATGCTCGTTTAATATGCAAGCCAAGCTCAATAGGGCAATGCTCAGCTTGCGAGCATAATCACCAATCCATCATGGATGCTGCCTTGTGATCTGTATTTTTATTTTTTATTTTATTTTATACACACACACACACACACACCTTATGCTGAAAGCTTGAGGTGCCTTGTGTTGGAGCATCTAAGAAAAAATCAGTTGCCAAACTTCGGCAACTTCACAGTTGATGTTTTTCAATCTTTTGACGATGAGTGGCATTAGGAGCACCACTCCAATTTTGGCTTTTGTGTTATTGCTGTTGTGCAAATTATCCTCTTGTAATCTCATTACTAATAGAAGTTCTTGTGTGTGCTGTAACATACCAGTTTCTTGGAGAATTTTGTTGAACAAAACTTCTGCAACTTTTGTAATAATTTCTAATTTTGACTAGAAATTTTCAAAAGTTAGTCAGAGTTAGTTGATTACCTCCTAGTCGAGGTTGAAGAAGTAATTCCATGCTACATTCAAGGATATATGAGTAATCTTCTTCGAAAATGGTAAAACGGTAATTAGCAAATTGTTGCACTCACCAAAATTATGATACATGCATAAATAATTAGGGTTTCCAAGTTTTCATGATTTGATTCCCTAAATCTTTTCAAAACATGCAATAAAGAGTTTTTATAAATTTCCTGAATTTAATATTTTCTAAGTTTAAGCTGTAGTTGACTTCAACTGATCAATATTTCGATCGAGGGTCACTGGAGTCTTGTTGATCGATCATGGAGTATATTTCGATCGACCAGACTCTGCGGAAAAGCAGTTTCCAAATTGGTTTGAAACTTTACCAACCCTATTCACTCCATACCCCTATTTTGCCTATATTTATCATGCAAGGGCTGAATACAAATAACCTCCAATATATAGAGAGAGCATATTTTGTGAGTTTTTGTTTTTGCATTCATCATTTGTAGAATTGGTGAGTGTAATTCTATGTGTTGACACCTGCTGCTGCATACATAATCCAAGAGTTCAACACAACCTTCTATAGTTCTATCCATCTTCAGAGATTGAATGTTAACGATTAGTGCTGAAACCAATTCACTGGTTAGAGAAGCAGATTTGTGTGTGAACTCTGTTGACGAGATGATGGACATCATGAAGACTCTTGGGGGAATGTTTGGCATCATTTGTTTCATGGAAGTAACCTGGGGTTTCTAGGGTTTTGGGAAAGGTTAACCGAGGATGTAAATTTCCTTTCTTATAGTCGATTTTGGTTTGCTTGGACAGGTCCTGTAGTTTCCACGTAAAATTATATGTGTCCATCGCTTTATTGCTTCATTTATTTATTTTTGCTATGGATTGAGTGATTTTTACTTTTCTGCTATGAACTGAATTTAGAATTCTGGCAATTTAGTTTTAAAATAAAATAAAAGGTAGTTAAATTTGGTAGTTTGGTTTGCAAGACCTAATCACCCCTTTCTCGGGTTCTAGTATTTACTATCAGTTCTTTTAAAAACTTTTTAAAAAATATTCCCAGTATACTGTTGTGATTTCACTGAACCAGACAGAGAATTTTTGTCTTCTCCCAAAATTTGAAAAACAATTATTTCAGAAAACTTGTCCATTTTAGATTTTACGATATAAATGAATTTGTGCGCAAATAATGTATATCCAGAAATTAGTGGAAAATTAGGACTTTGTGGCAAGTTGGATTGAGCAAAAACGTGCACGGGGTAGCCAAGTTGGCATAAGGCATCTGGGAATGACCCAAAGATCTTGTGTTCAGTTCATAGGGACGTCAAATACCTGTAGTTTGGGGGTGATTGTGAGTATCTGAAGGAATTGGTTTTGCCCCCGGTGGGGGTGGCTCATCCTCCATTATAAAAGGTTGGATTTTTTTATTTTTTTATTTTGATAAAAAGTTGGATTTTTCAATGTACCAGTTCGTCAGTAAATAGATTGAACAATAGAGGACTTACTTAAGCGAAGGCAAGGAGGATGATGATGATTACCAATGTTAATTCAATAGAAGAAATTTAGATCTACTTTTTATATAATATATATATGTTGATACAACTTAGGATGATGGATGATCAACAATAATTCATATTTTTGTTTTGTTAAATTCAAATATGTCATATATGGAACATTAATTACCTTTGTCTTGTCCTTTCTCTGGATAAAGGTGGTTCGTGTTTAGAACCATCCTGACATTTCATTTCATTTTAATTCAAATCCGTGCATTTGTTGTATAAAATTTAACAATAAAATAGGAAACATGTTCATGACTGAGAGGCGACAATTCTAATATTTTATGAACACTTTATATTCTACCCAAGCGAGTTTGAACAACTTGAAACAAGTTTCAGTTCATTTGCTGTCTCATTTAATGATCAGTTTATGTGCTGTCGACACTATGAAATTTTAAGTTCAGTCTATTCACCCTTTGCAGTAATTAAAATTTATAAAGTAGCCTTATATATGATACGTTTGCTTAATAACTAATATGTGTATAAATTTTCACTTATGTCCATAGGTGCTAACATATGCGCTCATATATACTATGTATGTATATATATGTCAGATGCTATGGAGATGCTCCTGCTTCTCCTTATGCTGCTCCTGTGAAGCACTTGTCTTTATTCTTTCTTTCTCTTTGGGCGTGAAGTAATTGCCTTAACTATCCTGCATCATGGTGCTTCTTTCGTTATTACCCATGCATACCCTGCTCCTGTAATTTCTGTGTATTGGGTTTCGCTTCTTAATTATGTTCACAATAATATGTTTGTGATTATGTATGTGAAACTTAGAATTAAAATGTACAGGAAACATGGAGACAGCATGTAACTGGTGGAAAGCTTAGGGAAATAACTGAAGAAGCCAAAAGTTTTGCAGTCGGAAACAAGGCTCTTGCTGCACTGTTTGTCCATACTCCAGCTGGTGAGCTGCAGCGTCAAATCCGATCTTGGCTGGCAGAAAACTTTGAATTTCTTTCTGTCACTGGAGACGATGCTGTAGGGGGGACAACTGGTCAGTTAGAGCTGCTTTCAACTGCAATAATGGATGGTTGGATGGCTGGACTTGGTGCTGCGCTACCACCCAGTACGGATGCTCTTGGCCAGCTTTTATGCGAGTATTCAAAGCGAGTCTATACTTCTCAATTGCAGCACTTGAAGGTGCTCTTTATATTTTATTATTCTTTTTTAATTTCTTTTTCTTTTCACCCCTGGTTGGATTCTTTTTTCTTAAATAAACCCTGTTAGAGGATTTAAATATTAAAGTTACATCCTCTCTCTAAAAGCTTAAGATTTTAGAGTAGATGGTGATTTACATGGTATCAGAGCATACAATGTTCTAAGTTCAAATCTCACCGTCACCTTGATAATTATTGAAACACGTGTTGGAACAAAAGAAGGCCACATGGGAAGGGGTGTCTTAGAGGATTTAAATATTGGTTACACTCACTCTAGCAACTTAAGCTTTTAGATTAGATGGTGGTTAACGGCTCATCTGGTAGATTGTCCAAAAACTCGGTGGGATTGGTTTGCTAACTTAGCTCGTCTGGATTTATATACAAGTAGGCATAACTGAGGAGTACCACACCTACTGTGGTACAACCACAAGAACTGTCTGTACAAGCTAATTTATGGGGAATTTGGGAAAGAAAACCCTCCTTAGTTTACATTCGTTCAAACGTACCTTTCAACAAAATCTTTTCTTTTTATTTTGCTTCTGGCACTCTTCCCTTTGTTCTCCACCCGCCCTTCCCACCCTTCCCTTTTTGTAGTTGGAAAGATGTGCTCGTGAGTTAACTTCCACACATTGCTGTTTATTAATTTTTCAGCCTTAGTGGTTATATTCTCTTTTTCTGTTTCTGTTTTTGTTTTTATTTTTTTGTTTTTTCTTGTGTTTGTGGCAAGTTCAATGGTAGTCTTCTAATTATAATAATTTTATTTTATGCATTCTCTTGCTATACTTATGAATAATCTCTCCATTTAAAAAATATAAATATAATACCATATGTTACCAAGATTTCCTATGAGGCTATTTTCATAATGATTATGTAATCTAGTGTCAAATTTATCTTTATCTAAGTGCAGAAAGTCCAAAAAAGAAAGCTCAAGTAAACTAAGGCCTAATACAACTCCTTGTGGTAGGCTTCGTTTATCAATTTAATGTCACATGCGCATAGACTGTTCTCTTTTAATGTCTTAATTAGAAAAAATAGGTGGTGTGTGTCACTGTTCTTTTCCCTTTTTTTAGTTTTTATTTTTTATTTATTGTTTATTTATTAAATTAAGCACCTGTTCATAGTCTCTCCTTCTATATCCTTTTGATGGCTGGTGTACTTTCAGAAAAGATCTGTCAAATGGAGACAGTCTTATATGCTTTTGTTATTGCCCAGCCCCCCACTCTCCCTCCCTCCATTCATTTCCAATTTACGACCATGCACTATTTTATATCAATCCAAAAACATAAATAAAAATGTTTACTTACTCAAGTTTGACAAAAAATTCTTATCAAAGTAGACTGGACTGGTTGGTTAAACTGCCCACATTTTTAATCGGTTAAAAATTGTAGTTCTGAAATCTTTTAAACTTGTTGGACATAAAGGTAGTTTTGTTGGCTAAACTAGTTTTACTGACATGCAAACCCGTCAACTCATTCAAACCTTTTGCTGGTTCTATTTACATAATCTCTGTAGAATGAAGGAATTGAACAGAAAATTTCATGCTGGTCAGTTAATTTATTGTGCTTTTGAGGGACCAAAAGTTTTTGGAGAACAGTAACACAATTCTTAGATGAGGTACAGTAAATAGCGCAAGAATCCTTCTACTTTGGTACATGCTTTCTGCTTTTACTGTGGTAAGGCATACCAGGCTGCTCTTTTCTTTACTTGACTGTCTGTCTATTGTTTCATCTATCATCATATTGGTTTCCTAGTACTTTGAGTGGTGTCAAATAATCATCAATTACAAGTTTTCGCATCCTGCAGCCAGCATGCTATTGCAGACTTCTTTTTAAATATATATCTGTTGATTGTCTCTACAGGTGTATGTGAAAATTTGATTTGGTTGTGCTTTTGTTTCATGCTGGGAACTACAGATTCTGAAAAACAAAAGAGAGTGATATTATTGGTGTTGTCTTTTGTTTTATGTCTGGTGAATGGCAATCAACCAATCAACATCCTAACTTTCCCCATTTTCCTATTGAGTCCTCCATTTACTTAAAGTGAATAATTATACTCAATGCTTTCTGTTTCTCTCATAGCCAAGTATGTTCAGTGAGTTTGAACGCATCCAGAAACTAAGCAAGACTATGCTAAGACTCTGCTGAAAAGTTATCTCAAACACCACGAAAATACTCAAATTCTGATATTTGAACTGGAAAACAATATGTTTTGTAAACCCGCGTTGTTCTATGCAGGAATGTCTACAAACTTGAAGATTGACTCTCTACATTCTTAGAGCATTTTCTTCAGTTGTCCAGTGGTGCGTCATTATTTTATCTTTTGTTGCCAAGAATAACCTGATAAAACTAGAACTCTGAATCACCCTCAAGCCTAAGAATTGAATTATTGAACCATAAAAAGCTTCAACCCTAACTATAACTTTAACAGTATACACTAAAAATATTAAGCGTTAAAACTATCTCTAGGCACCTATGTGACTGAACTGTAGTCACTTAGACATCTGTAGGAGATAATTGACCTGGCCTTGTTTCAGGACTTCAAACCACAAATAATCAGCCAAAAAAGATATGTCACAGTTCATGCATCTTATGCCCAAACACTGGGTGTTGTGTGTGGGTATGTATCTATATATATATATATATTAGAGGATATTCTAGAGTATTCTGTATATATATATATATATATATATATAAGATATATGTGTAGGGTTACAAAGGGTTCTCTTGAGTAAGTGAGAATATTCTGAAGCCCATCTTTTTGCCATTGGATCAATATAAATAGGTTAGGGTAGTCATTAGTAAATGTCCTTGGAGAGTCTCTACTACTGTAAAGCTTCCTTGACTAACACAAGTCTTACATTGCTTTCCAACCACTTTGCGTAAGTGTGGGTGTGAGTGAGTCCATGAGTGAATGGGTGAGATCACTACAACACTAGGGTATATACTTTTTTTTGATAAGTAAAAATATATTAGAAAGACGTTGAACGCGTCCCTAATACACAAAAACGAAAGAGCAAAAGCCAAACCTATGGACCAACAGAGTCCAATAGAACAAAAAAGTCATCGATCGAGGAGCAAGTGCTGCCTCTGACATAGCAGAAAAGAGAGTGTAGGATAAAAGACTTAAGGTTTGCAAAAGACGATTCCTTCCCTTCAAAGCTTCTGTTATTTCTCTCTCTCCAAATACACCACCAAACACAATGTGGGGCGACCCTCCAAAAATCACGAGCATGACCAGAAATAAGGCATCTTCTCCAAGCATTAATTAATTGGAAAGAGTGCTTAGGCATTACCCACTGAACGCCAAAAATACTAAATATGAGATTCCAGCAATCAGATGCAACAGGACAATGCATAAGAAGATGGTCCACGGACTCACCATCAGTTTTACAAAGACAACACCAATTAACAATGGTATTACCTCTCTTACGCAGATTATCCAATCTTAATATTTTTCCCCAAGTAGCAGTCCAAACAAAGAAGGCAACTCTAAGAGGAGCATTAGAGCGCCAAATACACTTCCAAGGGAAATCATATCCAATAAAATTAGACAAACACAAGAACATGGATCGAACTTCAAATCTACCATGAAGAGAGGGAGTCCACAAAATATCATCACAACCTCTGCCAACGTCTTTCTGTCTATACAACAGGTCCAAGAAGACGCAAACTTCAGCTATCTCCCAATCCTGAAAGGAACGCCTAAAACGCACATTCCACGCAACTCCACTGTTATCAAGATGATAACAATCAATTACATAAGCATGCTTATTCTCGGCAATGCTAAAGAGACGAGGAAAAGAAAGAGACAACAACTAATCACCACACCATAAGTCTTCCCAAAATCTAACATACATACCATTACGAACCTTGAACCGAATATGGGTGGAAAACACATCCCAACCTTTTCGAATGAACTTCCAAACGCCAATGCCCTCGGTAATAGAAACAGGACGAGAGGACTAACCTCCACTCTCTTCCCCAAAACGACACGAGATAACTCTTCTCCATTGTCGATGACGTTCTTTACCGAATCTCCATAACCACTTCCCCAATAAAGCTCTATTGAAAGGGACTAACTTCCGGATCCCTAAACCGCCAAACTTCAGTGGTTTACAAACCTGCTCCCAACTAACAAGATGATACTTAAACTCCTCTCCTTTTCCACCCCAAAGAAAATCTCTCTGAATTTTTTCAATTCTTTTAGCAACAGAACACGGGATCTGGAATAGAGATAAGAAATATGTGGGAAGGGACGAGAGGGTGCTCTTAATAAGAGTGACCTTCCCCCCTTTCGAAAGATACTGTTTTTTCCACCCCGCCAATCTTTTTTCATACCTGTTAATCACCGGATCTCAAGTCCCCACTATCCTAGAGGAGATTCCCAAAGGTAAGCCCAGATAAGGGAGTGGAAAGGCACCCACTCCACATCCAAGAACAGTAGCTAAAGTGGAAATATTAGAGACCTCCCCCACTGGGACAAGCACACTCTTTCCAACATTAATCTTAAGACCAGACACAGCTTGGAAGCATGTAAGAATGCACCTCAAATACCTGAGCTGGGAAACATCAGCATCACAGAAAACCAGGGTATCATCTGCAAACAACAAATGGGATATCTCGATCTGGTTAGCAGCATCTCTACCAACAGTGAACCCCCTTATGTAACCCAGATTCTCTGCCTTTTTCATTAATTTACTCAATCCCTCCATGACAATGAGAAAAAGAAAAGACAACAAAGGATCTCCTTGTCTCAAACCACGCGAACTCGGAAAAAACCCAGTAGGAGAGCCATTCACAAGCACAGAGAACATAACTGATGAGATGCAAGATTCAATCCATTTTATCCATCGATCTCCGAACCCCATTCTCCAAAGCAAATAAATAAGAAATTTCCAATTCACGTGATCATAAGCTTTCTCGATATCCAGCTTGCATAAAACACCAGGAACTTCACTCTTCAACCTGGAATCGACACATTCTCCTGCAATAAGAACAGAATCTAAAATCTGTCTACCCCCAACAAAAGCATTTTGTGACTCTGAAATGATTCCATCCAAAACAGTCCGCATTCTAAGAACAAGAACCTTGGCAATAAGCTTACACTAGGGTATATACATCATGTATGTAGTGGCAAAGTTTATTTGTGTATGTATATATACATATTTACATGCATACATACATGAGTTTATAGAGGTGAGATTTAAGTGTGTTTTTAATCTCTGAATCATATCCTAATATCTACATTGGTCTATTATCAGGATATTGCGGGTACTTTGGCAACTGAAGATGCAGGAGACTCAGCACAAGTTGCTAAACTACGTTCAGCTCTCGAATCCGTTGATCACAAGAGAAGGAAGGTAGTCATTTAAGTCTAACAACCATCTTTTACATTGTTTAAAAGTCCATACATTTTTAAATAACTGTACTTTCCCCCAAATAAATTATAAAACTCCCCTCCATCCCATATTAATTGTCCATCTTGCCTTCTTCATTTTCCCCCTTTGAATGTTTGTCTACCTCTAAAAGTCAAACATAAAAGGTTGAAATTTTACCCTTTTCTAGTTCAATTTGAATATTATTACCAGTGCATGTAGATTGTTAATTTTGAGAACTAATTTCCACCAAAGTGTGAATGCATTACATGCATGTCTTCTTAAAGAGTTGGAACTAAGAACATGGTATGGTAAAGTATATGTCATCTGAGATTTAAACTTTTCATACCTATGCTAGATGGATGCCTTCGATACATCCATGTAGTTGGAGATTTTTCTTAAATTAGGCAAAATTAAAAAATTTACAATCTAAATTAGAAAAATGAATTGTACTGGTTCTGTCCTAGACCTCCTGGTGGAGACTGCTATTGGGCCTAGTGGCAGAGATATATTCCCCAAGGGGGTGTGTGAACCCGGGAAAAAGTCTTGGATTTTGGAATTGGGTAGAGGCAGCAATTTGGACTGGGAATGATTTATACATGTGAGGATTGCATACCATAAATGGAGGTAGTGAACTATTAAATCTTTGAATTTACCAATATTTGTTCGATCTTGCGGATTGCTACCAAATATCGGAATCTGATGTGCAAATTATCTTGTAAAATCCAACTTAACCATGAATTGTATTATATATAAAGCTTTTGATTATCAGAATAATATTCTTCCTCTCCTGGACCAACTTCTAATCCATCATGATGGGAGATGAATTTGAGGTTATCAGTAAATAGCATTGATAGGAATAAGTTTGGCATGCTTTATCAGACGCAATAATAGTATTTGGCTAGGAGAATCTGCTAAAATTAATGTGCTTTTGAAGTTCATTCTTCGTATGAATTTGCTCTTACAAAGGTAATAGTCCAAAGCCAATGTAGTTTCAGATTAGTGCCTTTCAAATCCGCACCATAAATAATTCTGTAGGGATGCACTAAAGTTTGGTACCTTCAAGGTGTTAGATAAGTAGGAAGGTCCATGATTCTAAACTTGTTGAAGCTAAGTTGACATGCTCAATGTAAGCGTCCTGGCTCACTCACTTCGAAAAGGAGTTATGGGAAATCAATCGTTGTATCCAAGGATTTTTACTGTCCTAGATTGCCGTAAATCATGTAAAATTGTTAATGATCTAGGAGTTATCTTCCTTCAGGAGCAACTGTTAAAAAGAAAAAAAATTCTTACACTTGATATTCGTGGGTACTGTAGTAGTTACTAAAGCAGTACTCTTCATCAGTACTATTCACTCTACAGTAGCAGCTATTGGTAGGCTTTCTCTATGTCTTTTTCCCGTCTTTTATTTAAGTTCTGATGTATGGCTGAGATTAGAGAAGTTTAGGGGCTAGGATTTAGTTTTCTATGGGTTTTATGCTCAATTTTATTTATAAGTAGAACTCATGACTGTTGTAATGGCCTTTTTCTTATTGTTGAATTCTGCCAAATAATAGTTTACTTATTTGAAGGTTTACTTATTCTGCCAATTATTATTGATCTTCCCTCCGATCATAATGATTTTACGAATAGGATTGATGTTTCCTTTAGTTGGTATAACATTGAATCATGAAGAATTATGGAATGAAAATCACTTGCTTAAGACAATAGGGTTTCCAAAATGGGGTGGTTAAATATATCTTTGTAAAGAAGCTATGCAACATGCGAGGATGTTATGTGAGTAAAGACACATTACTCTAGACGATTGATTAAGAACAATTAACAAGTATAGATTCATAGTTCAAGATCTATTACCAATTAGGTGAGGCTATTTTGTAGTATGTTGATTTATGTGGACTGACAAAAAAGGGATGGAAACAAATGTTCGGGCATCCAGGAGATTGTGGAAATCCAAAACTCAAGAAGTTTTCTCCAACCCAGGGAGTTTGACATTTGAGTAAATTTTTGTTATGACGAGAAAATTGTAACAATTGCCGTTCATCCATTGCAGTTACTGTACAACTATTTTTCTTGAGTGCCGTGGCAGATACTGTTCACGGTCCTATGGCAGTACTACGCTTGATTACTATAGCAGCCTTTTCTCTGTAATGCAGCACAAGACCAGTTAAATACATTGTGAGTCCTAAGGAAAAACATTAAAAGAGGTTTTTTGAATGAAAAAAAACTTTTGTTAGTCAGATAGAACTTTATTTGGAGAGATAAGTGAGAAATCATAACTTTGAAGAAGTCTAAAAGAAGAAAAGGTACAAGACTTTACGAAAACTTTTTTAGTATGTGATCACATTAAGAAGTTGGATAGAGTTTTAGCTATATTTGGTAATTATAGTATTAAACAAAGGAAATCTATTAGTATGATAGAAATTATGTCAGAAAATTTTAGTGTTGCTATGTTTTCCACGTGGGTCTTTGCTGACTGCCATAATTGACCCAAGGGGCCAGCCCCAATGCTGCAATACTGTAGCATGAAACTTGATGCAAAGGTTGCAGCTATTAACATTTCATTTTTCTTTCTTTTCTTTTTATTTTATTTTATAGAAGTGTGATGTAGGGTTGATGCTAAAGCAGCTTTCTTTTCTTATAATTAGAACTCATGACATCTTGTAAAGGGACTTCTGCTTAGTATTTTGGAGCAATTTTTGTGGATAAGGAAAAAAAGAAACTTGAATCTACATGTGCAGATTTTCATACTCTGAACTAATCAAAGTGATCTTTATATGTATAGATGTCATGGATCTGGGATTTTTTATTACCTCATTGAAAATAAATTTGTGAAACTAAATGTGTGAAACTACTGAAATAACTTGAGAATAGCGTTGCAAAACGTTTTCAACTCTATTTCAGTTTTGCAGGGCATAAGATCCATCAATCACCAGTAATGAATAGTTTGGTCCACACTCTAGGATTATGCTAGTTAATTGTGGTTTCTTTGTTCCAAATAGGCACATTATTCTTCATTTACGGAATGCGCTTCCCTTTTTGAGCACTCTTCAATGAAACCTTTACTAATCAAAAATAAAATAAAATAATTAGAACTTGAATTTTTACTTGCAAACTAAAAGTATACTTATGCACATTGATTCTGTTGAGTTGACTTGTTATATTTGTCTTAGAAACAAAGAGCTAATACCTGTGATTGCTGCAGGTTGTTCCTCCTCTGACCTGTGGGTTATTTCAGGGTGTGAAATATTTGGTTAGAGAAATCTCTCTGAAATTGATTATGTTGGAATTTGAGAAATTCCATTTGTGTTAGAAATCTCTGAAAAACATAATGACATGCATAGAATGTCATATATTGTATGAAATGGGTAGTTAGATGCATCATGGATCTTGTTTTTTGCATATGATATTACATACAGTGATCATTTTGTTTACTTTCCTCGATCTCCCTGCCCATTGTATATGATATTACATTCCATCATATCATCATGTTTAATTTCCCTGCTTTTCATGCCTTGTCCATCTTTTGCTAGGCTGTGTTGCCCTGTGGCATTTGCTTGTTTATTGTGGCATGAATGTAAATATTGTTTACTAAAAGCATCACTAGTCTGCCGTGTATGCGTCTCTCTCTCTCTCTCTCTCTCTCTCTCTGTCATTTTTCTTTTATTTAATTGTGATCAATATCATGGATTATGTCACTTACATGATTGTCGCAGACTGACATATATTGTGATGACACTATCCTGCTTTTATTGTTTCCTTCGGTCCTTGAGATCTTGACTTTCTACTTGGCATACTTGACAATTTTTTATTTTTCCATAATCAGATTTTGCAGCAAATGAGAAGTGACGTAGCGTTGGTAACATTAGAAGGTGGTGGTTCACCTATTCGAAATCCTTCTACCGCGGCTGAGGATGCACGGCTAGCATCTTTAATTTCCCTTGATAGCATGTTGAAGCAAGTCAAGGTTTTTTTTACCTTTCACGTAAATGTCTTTTCATTTAGTTTTTGAATTTCCATGAATTGTGAGACTGACTGACATTAAACTATGTATAAATTTAATAGGATATAATGAGACAATCCTCTGTAAGTACATTGAGTAGCAGTAAGAAGAAAGTAATGCTTGCATCTATAGGTGAACTTGCAGAAAGGATGCCTTCATTGCTTGACATTGACCATCCATGTGCCCAGAGACACATTGCACAAGCTCGTCGTACAGTAGAGGTATATAAAAATTCATTTTTACAACTGGAAGTTTCTTCTCCATTAATCATTTGACCTTAAACAAAGACCTCTTTGAATACTTGTACAAACAAGATGGTCTCATTTCAAATGGTTTATACAATTTCAAATAATATGAATTCCATTGGGCATCCGAGTGGCCTCTGAACCTTTGTAAGCTTCAATCTTAATTTACACTTGATTGACATTAGTTTCCATCTTTTATAATTTATACCGATTTCAATCAATTGCTGCAGTCAATTCCTGAGGAGGATGATCGTCTTCAAGAGTCTGCACATGCTTCCAAAGTGTCCGTAGATTTGGGTTCAGGCATTGGAACTGATGTGGCACAATGGAATGTCCTGCAATTCAACACCGGTTCAACAACCCCATTCATCATTAAATGCGGAGCAAACTCAAACTCTGAGTTGGTCATCAAAGCCGACGCCCGTGTTCAAGAACCTAAAGGTGGCGAGGTAGTGTGTGTTGTTCCGAGACCAACAGTTCTGGAAAACCTGAGCTTAGAAGAGATGAAAGACGTTTTCTCTCAACTGCCCGAGGCTCTAAGCTTGCTTGCCCTTGCCAGGACAGCAGATGGAACCCGAGCTCGATATTCTAGGCTGTACAGAACTCTGGCCATGAAGGTTCCGGCACTGAGGGAACTAGTTGGTGAGCTGGAAAAGGGGGGAGTGTTGAAGGATGTGAGGTCATGAGTGCTGAAAGGGCTTGAGGGGAAGGATTGTATTTTTTGTATTTATTATGTATTGTGTTGGGGCCAGTGTTTATATCATTTTGAGGTTTCTCAAAGCAAAATTAGGTCTGTTCTTTTGTTGCTTGATTTGTCCCTGCCATTGTAGTTGTGTACCTGGAAAAAACTGTTATGTTATAATTTTGTCACCATGCATGGTACGCATGTATTCTCGGTTATGATTATTGAAATTTGCAAGGCGTTTTAGGGTAATTTACTGAATTCTAGTTTGATGTTTTAGTTCTTATTTTGTTTGGCCTTCCTCTGGCGCTGGGTCTTTTTATTTTAAAATTTTTTATTGGTTTAGGGTTACGAGATTCTAATTTTATTTTTTAGCTGATTTTTACATTCTTTGGCCTTACTTTGTGGATGATGAGAAGCAATTTGTATTTTGTGCGGATGAGAAGCCATTTGTTTATGGGACAATTTTGAATGTTCATTGCAGGATGTTCTCTGGGCATTGAAGGTGTGGTGATGGCTGACATAAGTTTGGCTTTGGGGGTGGAATAATTGGCACTTGATAAAGCGCAGCAGTTTCAGAGACAATGGTTGACGATTGTTTTTGTTTCGTGTTTTTTTGTTTCGTGTTTTTGTGTTAAATCGGTGTAACAACAGAAACAGTCTGGGAAAGTATGTTTTGTAATGTTTATTTGGCTCACGTGGATAAAAACTTAGCTCTGGTGTCTCTGGAAGCCTTTTTTCATAAACATGTCCAATGGAGGTCTCTTTCCTCTCTTAGAGCTGTATTGGTTTCTCCCTACAATTGGTAAGCGCATTCTTTGAACAAACAAACTTGCTTATCCTCCGTACAACTTCTAGGAGGAATATGAGATATTCTTTCAGCCTCAAGAAATTTTCTTTACCAACTTGGTTTTGGGCGTCAATTATATATATATATATATATTTGACACATCAGGTTTCTATGTAACCAACCACCTTTGGAAGAAGCTTTGTTTGGTAACCGATTATCCTCCTAGCATTTAGGCTTGTTAGATATGTGAGTTATATGTTAGTAATTTTCCTACTCAAAACCCTAATTATTGTGTCAATATGTCATAGCTTATATGAATATATGAATACTAATTTGTAATAATTGCTTTCCCATCTTCTACCAAAACCCGTTCAGGATTTTTCATGCCTAGGATAGTTTTCCTTCTCATTCTCTATTGAAAACTCTACCTCCCTTTTTTGGCATGTTCCCTTATATGATGAAGTAGAGTCCAACAATTTAATTTAATTTAATCACCTATTTTCGGGACAGGATTATTCAGGACTTTGCATGACTTATCCCTAGGACACTGTGCAAAGCGTCCCCTTCATACGGGTCGGTAAAGCTCAGACTTTCACAAAGCAGGCGAGGTCCCAAAAAATTATTTGCCCTCAAAGAAAAATCGAACCTTAAACCTTGATATGAGATACCAAGTCTAAGTGATGAACCACCTTAACAACCCTCAGAATTATTGTCCATCAATTGCAAACCTTTGTTGAATATATATATATATATATATATTAAATTAATCGTTAAAAGGTTATAACTATAGAAGAATTCACTTTTATGCGTGAATAGTTAAATGTAAAGAATTAGAAAAACACAAATACTCCAAATAGAAATGATAAAATGAGTAATGATATTTAGAGCGATCACTCATCTAATCCAAGATACGATAAAAGTCCATAAAACTGACAAATATATGTGATTTTCTTTAGAGGCAAAAAAAAAAAAATTTACATAATTGAAAAATAGCTTTAGCAAAACGACGGCGTAGCAAGTGGCGCCAAAATTATACCCGTGTGTCAGTTTGCTTTTTCGAACCAACACGGTGTCAATTGACTGGATACCAAAATGGAAAAATTGGAGCCCAAGAAATCAGCAAAATACAAAAATTTCAGGTCTCGACAGTTTCTGATAATAGCAAGAGATTCTCTATTGTGAAATAACTATATTACCCCAACCCAAACCCCACATTAATACCGAAACAGAACTTCACTTCCATCTTGACCGTCCATATCAGCATCAACGGAGCCACACCACCGTCTGATGATCCCATCTCATCATGGACGGTCCAGATTCAATCCGCCCATCAATTTTCACTCCTGTCCTTATTCGTCCCCTCAAAACTTCAAAACAACATCTTTCTTATCTTAACGCTTCCTCTCTCTCTCCCCCAACACACAGTGACACACACACAATCGCACGCACATACACGGCAGGCCAGAGAATCAGAAATGGAGGACCAGAGTAGTGAAACCGAGGCGGAGCGCTTGCTCAGAGTATCGGAGTACTTCCTCCGCCACCGTAACTTCGAAAGTAGCCGGAGATACGCACTCATCGCCCAAGGATCTGACCCACACAACCCCCGCGCCGCCCAACTCCTCACCATAGCGGCCGTCCTCGACGCCGCCGAAACCCGCATCAGCAGCAACAACCGAGCCGACTGGTACGCAATCTTGCAAGTCAATCGTTACTTAAATGACTCACATCTCATCAAAAACCAGTTTAAACACCTGATTTTACTCCTAAACCCTAAGCAAAACAAGTCCGATTTCGCCTCCGAGGCCTTTGAGCTCGTTCACGAGGCTTGGGCCGTGTTGTCGAGCCCTTTGAAGAAGCCTCAGTTCGACAAGGAGCTCAAAATGTTATCGGAAGGAAAATGTGGTTTGATTGATGAGACATTCTGGACTGTGTGTCCGTACTGCTACCATGTGTATGAGTACCCTAGGGTTTATGTGGATTGTTGCTTGAGGTGCGACAATCAGAATTGCAGAAGAGGGTTTCACGCCGTGGTGCTTCCGTCTCCGCCGCCGCCTGAGTTGGCAGAGGATGGTAAGTATTGGTGTTGGGGTTTTTTTCCGGTGGGGTTTGAGGGCGGTGAACGAAAAGGGTTTCCTTCATGGACTCCTTTCGCGCCATTTTGCATGGGTACTCCGAAAACAGAAGGCAAGGAAAAGAATGCTGTGCCTGAGAGTGGTGATACAGATAGTTTCATTAACATTTCTGATGATAGTGATGATGATGGGCTTGGGAATGAAAATGGTGGCGCATCCGAGAATGTCAATGCCGAGAAGGCAAAAACAGAGGAAGTGAAGAAGATGGGTGGGAGTTCAAATGGGTGTGCAACAAAAAGGGTTGAAACAGAGGCTTCCAATGTGGCTAAGCCGGCGATGAAGAGGAAGAAATCGGTGGCCAAACATTCAAAGAAGTTAATGGGCAAGGGCACACGAATTTTGAAACAGGAAATGGTTCCTTCACAGAGAAAGGAAGAATTCGACTTGAATGTGGTGATGGCAAGTAGGGGTGACCTTAGTGTTGATGATGGAGTGGAGTTTTTTGATGGAGAAGATGACGTCTATGTGGGTCTGCAGGATGATTTCTGATGTGGGAAATGGAGATTTTGGGGCTTCTTAGGATTGACAATGGAATTCGTCTGTTTTTGGGGCTTCTTTTTTGTTTATAAGTTTCTAGGGTTGGATGGTATAGGAGGGCAACTAAATTTCTGTGACTGGTTGCATCATAGTTGAAAAGGTTATGGAAACATGAAATTTACAGTATAGTTATATAATCATATGCCTTATGTCAAAAATGGTGGTAAGGAAATTAATTAGGTACCTTTTCATCAAGAACCATGTATTGGGATTTTAGTTTGCTCAGTGAATGCTTTGATTTTACCTATAAATTTAGTTTCCTTCATTGTAGTCTCTTGGAAACCTTCATCATCTGTATGAGTTGATAGCTTCCTCTTGATTGATGTTGAGCATGCAATTTGCACGGATTGTTTAAGCCGGTGAAAGTATTCCGGTGTGGAATGAGGTGGTTGATCCTCCTCTTGTTCTTCCTCTGACCCTCATCACTCGAATAACTTGAGTGTCCTGGTGTATCTGAGGTTCTCGTTGTTCGTGATGAAGATGAGTAATAATTTATTGAGAGAGGAATCATTTAGATCACTCCTTTTCTCTGCAATTTTCTCATTGATGTCAAAATGGATACAAAATAAACTTCTAAAATTTGACAAATAAGCTTCCTTCTTTGTAGTCTCTTGGGAACCTTCATTTTCTAGATGAACGGCTAGTTTCCTTTATTTGAGTCACTTAGAAACCTTCATTATCTAGATTGCTAAACCTAGAAAATTAAAGCTGCTGAACTGTTGTAGTTTAGCAGCACATAGTTTTTAGTCCGAGTTCTTGACATACCTGTGTGCAGCTGCTTTATTAAGTATTCCTTCTGAGAAGGCATTTAAAAAAATTAGAACGAGAATTTTGCCCCTTGGAGTGACAGTTTTAGCAGTCTGATTCTGCATCTTTGATACAAAACAATAGGGTAAACAACGAAAAAAAAATTCAACACATTTTGCGGCTCATCTTTTAATAGAAATTTGAAGGATTCTATTTTTATTTTATTCAAGTTCTTGGATTCTTGTTCTAGTGTTTTTGAGACTGAAAATTTCTTGCAAAAGAAATGGGGAGAATCAAAACCTTGACACATTTTGGCTTTCCTTTGCCTTCTATTCTCTGTTTCATATAATTTCTGCTTCATATAATTTCTTACTGAAATCCTACGAATAGCCTTCTGTTTCTGTGCTAAAGAAGAGTCTTTGCTCCTTTGATGCTTTTGCTTATGCTTCAATTCTGCTTTGTTTGATTTTGTGGAAAGATGATAGTTTGTGCTTTTATTGGAGTTATGATCTTTAGAAAAATTAGAGACAAAATAAGATTCATGTAGCTGAAATGATTAGTTGGGAAAATGTCTTTTTTGAGTTGATTTGTGCTTCCTTTATATGGGTGTCCTAAGATGGAGTGAGTTCATACCGAGCATTCAAAAGAGGAATGTATAGAGGTAATATTTCTGAATTCTGGCTTCTAGCCAAAGAAATTTGAAGATGGTTTGAGAAACTAAGGGAAAACTATATGCCCTTTCAGTTTAGTTTTACGAGATTTGAAAATTGGAAGATTATGCAGAAATTTGTTTAGTTGACAGTTTCTGAAAGATGGATTTCTAAAAACTCAGTTTCAGAAAACTCTCTTTTATAGTTCTCTAAGTTTTTGAGAATTGTGTTTAGAAAATTGAACCAAGCAGACCCTATAGCACTTGATAGACAAACTATCAATATGGCTCTGAATCATTTTTTCAGTGACGGGTAAATTCTGTATCAACAAAGATACACATTGAAACTGCATGTGTTGCCAATGGTGATTGTTTGTTTGTTTTGTTTTTGATTTTTTTTTTTTTTTTTTTTTTTTTTTTTTTTTTTAAGTAGTTGCTTAATAGAATATATTCCAATATATTTTCTCATTCGAGCAAGGAACTATATTTCATGAATGACTGTTAAAATCCAAGGAACTTTCAACAGTAGGTTCGTGTGAATTTGGCATTCAGAGGAATGATTGCTAGTGTTGTGCTTATGATTTGAGGCCATTGCTGAAGAATTTATGTACAAGAAGGCTCGTTTCGTGCCTCTTTGTTGATTTCTGGGAATAATGCTCTTAAATGCAGTGAGACAGATATATTTCAATCAAATAAGAACACTAAATTTGTCTTTGTTCAAATTCTTCTGTGAATAAATGGCTTTCTTTACATATTTTAATGAGAGAAGCATAGAGTAGTAGTCTTCCATGCATGTTTCCAGTGTTTTGGTTGGCATTCTCTATGGAACCTTGGAATTTTTATTAATTGCATTATATTTTTGTGTGAAATTTAACCATAATTTTTTTACAAAAATACCAACAAATCACTACAATCACCATTAAATTATTTGAACAAGTTCACCTATGAACTCCCTGTAATGTTTTTAATATTTATACGTATGCAACAAACATAGGAAACAATCATCAGCAGCAACAAATGCAGTTCTTGATTGGGATCCCTCCTTGTCCACCTGATTGAATTTCTGAGCATTGCCTTCGACCATCCCATCGTCCTCAGAATTGAATTTTTGAGCCTAGCCTTGCTCTGAAAATTGAAGTAGGGTTTCAGAAATTGCTACTGGAGCTAGACTACTGTTAAGCCTCAACGGTCAAATTTTTTTGAATGGGGTTGGGGCTGGGCTTTTTGGGCCTAAACTGGGGTTCATGTAGTCTTTAAATTTGATTTGTACTTGAGTTGTTTACCTTTGGGCCTGTTTTCTGGACTTTCCAAGCCTGTTTGGTTGTCCGGCCCATATGTGCATTTTGTAAACCAATAAGCAAAATATACAATCAAGAGTGATTGTATGTATATTTTGTGGTCAATGAATGCAAAAAATTGGGGCTTTTAGAACAATTAGTTTGGGCCAAAATCCAACAAGACATTCCCAAACTAGCCACAACAAAGCCCCACCATGTAGCAATTTGAGACGCACAACATAAACATTATCCAATTAAAAAATTAAGTTATTGAGTTTCAAATTGTAATGAATGTTCCAATTGCGTTAGCGCCTACTTAATCAATTGTGAAAATCCAAATCCAATCCATGTTAAGCATATTGGGATGGGTGTTTTAGCTTATATCCTTTTTTGGGAGATTTTGGGTTTAAGTCTCCAATTTTTTCATTTATTCCTCCATTTGGTGTATATGTTTGCACGTTCGTCTCGTCACGTGCAAGACAGGATTACAAGTTAGGTATGGCTTTAGCGTTTGATATTCATTATTGGCACCATTCTTTAACAGCTTAACTTTTGGAATAACTTTTAATCTAACATGATATTAACGCTTTGCTTTCGGAGATCTTGGGTTCAACTAAGTCTTCGTATATACATTTGTTTCTTGATTTGTTGTGCAACATTTGTTATGTGGACTAATACCCTAAGTCACACATAGTGGGAGCAAGAGTTGGAGCAGAAGTGTGAAAACGATAAAAATCTAAGTCACATGGAGTGGGAGTGAGAGAAAAATCCTGTGTGACGCGTTAGAACAGTACCGGTTTAGAAAAATTGTGTGAAGTTTATAATCAATTGCGTTTATGTCAAGCCGTGCCCTGCATCCGTCCATTTGTCTTTGCAATGACTCAGAGCTTAGGAGGTGAACAAACAAGTGTTTCTCCACATTTAGGCCAACCATATCTCATCAAACTCCCATTTGGTCCTACCAAACCTTTTGAATCCTTCAGTATTTGTTCTGCATAAATACCCACAAAGGGAAGTTGTCTTTCAAGTAAAAAATTCTTGAAAGTTTTTCCTTGCAAGTTCAGAGTAATCTAGCTCCTTAATCCTTCAACTACCACCAAAAAATGGCTGCTTCTAAGCAGTTTTTTGTTCTATCTTTGATCATGGCGTTGTCCCTTTCGAGCATCCACATGAGCTCGGCAGCGCGCCATCTATTGCAAGCCTCTCCCCCTGCAGCACCAACACTGCCTACAATACCGCCTCTGCCTAAAGCTACGTTGCCTCCATTGCCCGCCATGCCAACACTGCCTAAAGCCACATTGCCACCGTTACCAAGCACTCCGCTACCAACCATGCCAACACTGCCTAAGCCCACGTTACCGCCATTGCCAAGCAACGGGCTACCAACGTTGCCAACCATGCCCACAGTTCCAAAGGTGTCACTGCCTCCATTGCCAGCCACTTCACTGCCCACTCTCCCAACCATTCCGACCACAATTCCTTCGATCCCAACCATCCCAACAACAATGCCAACCATTCCATTCTTCTCACCACCACCATCTACCACCAGCCCATGAAAGTTCTACCATTCCGTTCATCTTTGTTCTGATTGGAAATAAAGTATATTGTTGTTATATATAGTGAGTCCATATATTTTGTTGTCTTCTGTATGTGAGGTTTTATTTTTTTTATTTTTATTTTATTAATGTAAATCATTCTTGTTTTGTTTAGTAAACAATATATTGTATGATGTGAGATTCATTTCTATTCATAAAACAACCAAAAACAAAAATCGTTCCAAAACAAAAAGAAAATTAATTCTTGGATAATGGACAAATCAAGCCAAACAATGTTCCAAGATTCACAATTAAAGTAATAAAATGTATATTTTTAGAGGTGTACAAACACTTAAAAATGTTTGAGCCTTTTGATCAATTTGTTAAGTGATGAGTATTCAGCCGAGTACGGTTCAAAATATATAAGTTCAAAGAGACAACTATATTATTATTATTATTATTATTATTATTATTCAATTTTGATTTATAAGTTAGTCGACTAAGATTAATTCGAATTACACTTAAAAACATACAAATTTCGACTCAATCAGTCACTGAGATTTGCAAGAGTATCTGTTGAGCTGAATAAACATTGTTTGAGATCACGAATAATGCTTATCCCAATGTTTTGCTTCATTTGCAACATGATTTTATTTAAAATATGAAGTATTCTACCAATCTCTTGTTTGTTGACCATCCCCACGGATATATATATATATATATATATTGACCATCCCCACCGATATATATATATACACACACACAAACACACACTTCTATTTCACCTACTGAGTCAGATGGTTGAGACAAGCACCAATAAAGATTTGAACCTAGGGACCAATCCAAAAAATTATATGAGATGGTGGATTTGAACAACAAGAATATATAGTGAGGAATTATAAAAAATTGAGTGGGGTATTTTTAAAATTTTAACAAGAATTATAACTAATTTTGTAATTAAAAAAAAATCAGTGGGGCCCTTAATAGGTTGGTCCTGTTTGAGCCCCCAATCCCCGAGTTCTCAAGGCAGGCAACCTCATTCAAAAGCTAATTTTCTCTTATAAATTTGCATATACTACAAGAGTCGAAAGTAATCTATTCAATTATCAATAATATATAAAATTTATTTATAATATATACATTGTAAGTCACATACTATTTTGTAACTAAGAAAGCATATTTTTAACTTTGTGAAGTTAAAGTTATTCCTTATTCATGCGCGTTGACAACTTCTACCAAAAGCAGTGCTAGTATAACACATGGTCATGCCACAAAATCATTATTTTTTAGGTATACCTATCTAGGACCAACTAATAATTCAACAGGCATTGGAAGAATAATGTAGCAAATGAGAAGCATAAGTTTTTGAGAAGCTTTACGCCTAACTAAGCACCGTCTATTCAGCTCAACAGTGCAGCCTCATGACAGCTCTCTGAGACTCAAAATCAATATTATTGTTCAATCACGACGCGTGCTTAAATTTAGTTGAGGCTCTCATCGCTTCCTGAAGAGCTTCGAGTGTAAGTCAAAATATTTTCCTAAACACATTCATAGGCTTAACATTTTCTACTGTTTGTACTTGTAAGCATTCATACATTGTCCGGCCTTTTCATCAAAATTAGTACCACTGTTGTCATGAATATGCTTTTACACACACACACAGTTGGCAATGCTGGTAGCGCGGTACTTGGTAGTGGTGGCAATGTCGCTCTTTAGGCAGTGTTGGCATCGCGGGCAATGGAGTTTTAGGCAGAGGTGGTATTGTAGGCATGGTAGGCAGTGTAGGTGCTGCAGTTGGAAATGTTTGCAGTAGTTGAAGCGTTGCAAGGCTCATATGGCCGGATGCTTGAATGTGATAATGCTACAATTAAACATAGAAGAAAGAATGCCTAGAGGTGGCCATATATTGTTTGGAGAAATTATTAGATGGTACTGAACCATTAACATTTGGTGGACCAGTTAAATATAGACTCTCGGATTGAGAAAACGACCCCACAAGATTGTATTAATAAATTGTAAAGTTTCATGATCGAAATGTTTTCATTGAATTAATCCACACCAAGTGTCAAATAGACTAGAACCATCTAATAATTTCTTCATTGTTTGATAGTAGTTGAATGTCACCCTGATTATGGGAAAAAACTCCAGTTTGTTCGTTTTGGGAAAAAAAAAACTCCAATTTGTTCACCTTCCAAGCCCTAGGTTTGACAAAAAATAAAAAATAAAAAAATAAAATAAAAATAAAAATGTTTATGTGGCTCATGGGGGAATTGAACAAACATTAAGGTTCCATTTGTTTCGACGTAAAGTATTTTTTTCATAAAAGATTTGTTTTTTTTTCTCGGGTAAAATATATATATTTTTATTTTTAGTTTTTCTGCGTTTGGCAAAGATTTAGATCGAAGTTGAGGTCAAATCCATCGAATGGGACATGTAAAATAACTTGTCTAAAATTAATGAGTAAATTATTATTGTTAAATTTTAATATTTTTATTTCTTCATAAATATTTAAGACAACCTGACATCAAAAAATAAAAAATTATTTTATATCCAAACAAACGGAGTCTTAAAAGGAAAATTTTGTAGACGCCCATCAAATGAGTGAGCTGCATTTGTTTCACGGTGGTGTTGAGGTTATAACAAAATGATTGGTAATTCAAATAGAATGGTGTCATTATATTTTGATTTGTGAAAAATCTGTTTTGTTGGGACGTTTAAATGTTCTATTCAATTTGGTGGACTTTAACAAGGATCAGTAATGGAGCCAGAAAATGATTTGGGAGGGCAACTTTGAACAATAATAAAATAAAAAAAATTCAAACTACCATAATTTAAAAAAAAATAAAAAAATAAAAATTAATTTAATAAATATTTTCAACTATATAATACCAAAAATACCCAGAAGTGTTTCTCATTCCATATTTTTGCGCTACAAGCATGAGAATGGTGACATTTGGATAGACAAACAGAGAATAATTTGTCAACTAATTTTAATATCTTAGGGGACACTTGGACAGCTCATGAAAGACTTGTCTGACCATCAGGTTCTACCCTAGCCCATTGATGTGCCATAGCATGAAAGGTCATAAGTTGACCCATAACCACTTTGAGCTTGTGTAACCCATGGGTTGCATTAGTCCCTTTTGTCTTTGCAATGAGTCAGTTTACGAGGTGAGCAAACAAGTGTTTCTCCATATTTTGGCCAACCATATCTCATCAAACTCACATTTGGTCCTACCAAACCTTTTGAATCCTTCAATATTTGTTCTCCATTAATACTCGCAAAGGGAAGTTTTCTTTCAACTCAAAAAATCTTGAAAGTTGTTCTTCCAAGTTCAGGGTAAGATCTCCTTAATCCTTCAACTACCACCAAAAAATGGCTGCTTCTAAGCAGTTTTTTGTTCTATCTTTGATCATGGCATTGTCCCTTTCGAGCATCCACACGAGCTCGGCAGCACGCCACCTATTGCAAACCTCTCCCCTGCCTGCAGCACCAGCACTGCCTACCATACTGCCTCTGCCTAAAGCCACGTTGCCTCCATTGCCAGCCATGCCAACACTGCCTAAAGCCACATTGCCACCGTTGCCAACCATGCCAACACTGCCTAAGACCACATTACCGCCGTTGCCAAGCAACGCGCTACCAACATTGCCGACTATGCCCACAGTTCCAAAGGTCTCACTGCCTCCATTGCCAGCCTCTTCACTGCCCACTCTCCCAACCATTCCGTCGACAATTCCTTCGATCCCAACCATCCCAACAACAATGCCAACCATTCCGTTCTTCTCATCACCGCCATCTACCACTAGCCCATGAAATTCAACCATTCCGTTCATCTTTTTCCCGATTAGAAATAAAGTATATTGTTATAGTGAGTCAATATATTTTGTTGTCTTCTGTATGTGAGATTTTTTTTAAATATTTTTTCATTAATGTAATTCATTCCTGTCTTGTTTAGTAAACAATATATTGTATGTTGAGAGATTCATTCCTATATACAGGAAAAATATATATATATCTTCGCATAGACACGGGGGACACCGCTATGATATTTTTCCAAGAAATAATGGGTCATATATCTCAGTTTATATGAAGATCTTCGCATTTCATTCATAGCATTAATTGTAGGAATTATTTCGTGTAAATGGTGCTAATAACTTATATTTATCATTTGATGGAATCAAAGTGTCATAATTTCAAAAAAATGAAGACATGAAAAAATACCATTTAACCTCGTACATGTATCACATTTAAGTACATACATACCACTTTTTGTGCATGTAAGTACCGTTTTTTATCACCAGATACCACATTTTGTGCTGCACAAAAAAGTGGTACCTGTGTGAATAAAAGTAGTACTTCTATACCCAAAACAAAAGTGATACCTGATATACAAAAAGTGATGCCTATGTGTCTAAAAGTGATATCTCTGTGAGAGCGAACAATGTTTTTCTATGTCCACATCAGTATTTTGGTCAACTCTATTTTTTCAAAACTATGAGACTTTGACTCCATTAAATGGTAAATATAGACTATTAGTACCATTTATATGTAATAATCCCAATTGTAATTCATTGTCATTTTAATGTTTCACACAAAAAATATACACCTTTGCATATTTATAGAATATATTCATGAAAATTGTGGACCTAATAATTTTGATGAAAAGGCCAGACAATGTTCGAAGATTCACAGAAGTAATAAAATGTATATTTTTATAGGTGTAAAAAATGTTTGAGCCTTTTGATGAATTTGTCAAGGAAGTGATGAGTATTCAGTTGAGTACGGTTGAACTTATATACGGTTGAAAATATATAAGTTCAACAAGACAAGTAAATTTTTTTTTTTTTTAGGTACTGGTAGCATGATTATTATCGTAATTATGTAATGAACAATATGACTACTATTCTGTCTAACTTATGTTTAAACCTGATTCAATTATGGGTCGTCCAAAAGTCGCGTTGGAATGTTAAACCCGCTTTTTGTATTAAATTGCTGCACAGGGTATTGTTTCCAGTAAATCGTTGACAGACGAGTAATAGAATCTCTCTTAAGCAGAACGACGACAGAATAGTAACTTACTGTTCACTATATAATATTATAATATTTATACTAAGCAGACCTTAAAGCATTAACAATATTTAACAAACATGTTAAAACCATCTTCCTCTTCTTCAGGAGTACAGGAGAACCAGGATTCAGAACTGGTAAAAAATACTGAATTAGTGGAATGGACCAATGTTCAAAATAAATTGAACAGATGGACTATCCCTCCAGTAAGTGCTAAGAGCATTTACAAAATCGGAATGCTTAATTTAATTGATCTATGGACTGTCAAAACCATGGAACAGACCATGCAATTAAGCACTAAGGATACAATAATTAAGTTATTGTCTTCCCGTGACCTTCAGAGGCACATGCACAAATATAAGTACATCCATATAGGTTTAATTCAAATTGCTTTTAAACCTTTAACCTTGTTAGGTATGGATGCTTGTATTCAAGCAACCCTTCGGGATGCTCGATGTCTGAAATTTCACCCTTCCTTGATGGGTGCACTGGAAACCAGTCTATGTCATGGACCGGTTTATTTTAATGTCTATCCTAGTCTGAATTTATCTTTAACAGATAAAAATATCCATGAGGCAGTTAGTCTTCGTGTTCAGACCTATGGGTATGATTATTTACCTGGATCGGAAGTGATAAGTGTTATTTATCGCATCCATTACAAAGTACTTGATACTATGTGTCTAAATGCCATACGCAAAGACTCTAAAGGAGTAACAGCGTTATGGGACACTAACATGTACACATCAAATGTTGCCACAAAGAGGATGATTCCTTGGAGTGAAATAACATTTCCTGAACATTGGACGATTTCTAACGCCGTCCCGGCACAGCCAATTGCTAATCATAGCTTAGACTATGTTATTCAGGACCAAGATGGTGATGTTTTTCTGAATTTCAGAAAATCAATAGATCTACCTAGATCTACATCATCTAAAGGAAGTCATCTTCCTTATCATGTTTCTTGTCCTCCTTCTCGCCATTCGATTTCGTCGGATTACAGAAAGGAAGATCTCCCTGAAGTCGTTGGTCCAAATCAACTCAAGCTTCCAAGAGGAGTCTACGAGAAATCACCAATAGGTATGTCTCGTCGCCAATTTGGACTTGAATTCAGCCCAACTCCATCTGAAATGGGAATCGAAAATGAATCTATCAAGGATCAATTTGATGATCCTGCAGACATCAATGACCCTCATGAATATTAGTTTTAATGGATTTTGTCCCAGATAGAATTGCCATTAATACTGAATTTCAACAGGATCAATATAAAGAATTCAGAAATTGGTATTTTAGAGCTTTTGACCAAAATCAATTACAGCTTTTTAAAACTCAATTTTATGATTTTCTACAAGAACGCAAAATAGTTATACCTTTTGTTTCTTGGTTCTTTATGACTAATCATTCTCTTGTTAATATAAACATATTGGATGATTTTTTCAAAACATGGACCACATCTGAAGATAAGGTTTATCACTCTGTCCATCCTCCCACTGAACATCTAATTCTGAAAAGGATTGACCCTGACAGTGGTGCCAAAGTGGAAACCAAGGCTTATAGCCAACCTAAAATAATTGATCCATCCTGTAATGCTACTAAAAAAAACATTTCTCAGGTTTACAGGCAGAACAATTATACTAATGTTTGTTTGCAAACGATAGGGTCTCAGCTTGGGAGAATTGAAACAGGAGTAGACACGGTATTAAATACAATTAATACTAAGTGTATTACTGCTAAACCTTCTCCTCCAGAAGCTTCCTTATCCAAGGCATTGGTCAAACCTGCAATTGAAGTTCAAGGCTTCAATCTTACACATCCTAAGAAGAATGAAGAATTTCTTACTCTTCTTACTCAGAAAATTCAAGGACTTAAAATTCAGACTTTATCCCATGATGAATCTGAAATTGGTTCTGATTCTGATAATGTGTTACCTCATATTGAGGTATTCCAAAATGATTTTACTCAGATGCCTGAGTTAAACCGAATTGTCTATGATAAGAATATCCACTCGAATACAGCCCCTGCTCCGAGTAGATATTATTATCCCAGACCTACACCTCAAGATATCTTGTATGAAGAGGATTATTTTCATACACAGAAATCTGTTCATGGCAAGACCATTTATGAATGGAACATAGATGGCAAATCTGATTATCAGATTTATGAGGTTATTCATCAAATGTTGATGTATAGCCAAGTTTTTAAAATCAACAACAACACTGACCCAACCATTGCTAAGTTTGTCGTTGCTGGTTTTACAGGAATCCTTAAAGGATGGTGGGATAATGTTCTCACTGAAGTTCAGAAAGCTGAAATCTTTTCTGCTACCGAGCTCGTTAAAGATGAAGCTACTCAACAAGCAGGACCTGCTCCTGATGCGGTTTACACCCTTATCACCACTATTATCCAACATTTTGTTGGCCCTGAAGGTGCTAATAGTGAAAGGAGTCGTGAACTTCTCCAGAATCTCCGATGTCCATCTTTAACTCATTTCCGGTGGTATAACGATGTATTCTTGGCAAAGGTTCTCCAACTCAATGATGCAAATCATGAGCATTGGAAAGCAAAATTTGTGGATGGTTTACCAACCTTTTTTGCTGAAAGAATCAGGAAAAAGCTTAGAGATATGAATAATGGTATCTCTATCCCTTACAGAAACTATACCTATGGTGGATTAGTCAACATTGTAATCCAAGAAGGTCTAGCTCTCAGTAATGATCTGAAGTTACAATCCCAGTTAAAAGCACAAAGATTAACTGGTCGAAAGGAAGTAGGTGAATTTTGTGATCAATTTGCCTACCAGACTCCCTTATCTTATCCTAAACCTAGGAAAAGAAATAAGGTTGAAAAACCTTATAAGAGGAAGTATTCCAAAAGAAAGAATTATTCAAAGGAAAAGGATAATTCTAGACAGTATACTAAGCCTAAAAGGAAATATATTCCTAAAGCAAAGGGTAAAGGAAAGCCCAAAGCTGAGGCTAAATGTTTCAAATGTGGACGTATAGGCCACTATGCAAACAAGTGCAAAACCAAGGAGAAACTCAGTAGTCTTCACATTGAAGATGAACTAAGACTTCAATTAAGTAAATTGTTACTTAATACTAGTTCTTCTGAATCAGAATCATCAGCTGATTATGGGGATGTTGTTATGGAATTACAGTCTTCTTCTTCCTCTGAAGCAGAAATTGGAAATCCTAGATGTTCCTGTAATCCCTCTCATGATGATTATTATAAGGCAATTGTTGAGATGAATGGGTTAAGCTTAAATGTTTTGACTTCAACTCAACAATCCTTATTGGATCTTATAGATCATATCCAGGATCCTCAAATCAAGATGAAAGTCTTTGAAATAAGTTCTGCTCTGGCACGATCTAATGAGGATACGGATAATCCAGATTTTCTGAGAGCAGAAAATCATTACAGCATGAAAGAAGTTCTAAGCAGATTAGAACACCAAGGACTGGATTCTCGTACTGCTAATCTCCCTGATCTCTGAATGGAGATTAATCTTTTAAAAGAAGAAATTCGCCAGTTAAAGTCTTGTCAAACTAAGATGGATCTGGAAATTACTCTTTTAAAAGCAAAATCTGTAATTGCACCTTCATCATCCCAGGTTGAAGTCCCCCTATCAGAAGGTGCTAATTATCTTCAACTCTTGAATCAAGTTACTTACCAAAAATGGTATATATATCTATCAATTTGGTAATTAATCAGGAGTACACCATCACTAATGCGATCGCCTTAGTTGATAGTGGTGCAGACATGAACTGCATACAGGAAGGATTGGTTCCTACTCAATATTTTGAGAAAACCACTCAAGGTCTTACCAATGCAAGTGGAGGTAAGATGCAGATTAA